TATCTTTAATTAATTATTGATCAAAAATTATAGAATTGTTGATTATTATTCATTAAATCCATCAGAATTTTTTCAAAAGCACTTTTATATGCATAAGCGATATTTTTCACCCAAAATTTGATTAAACCACTCCTTAATCCATAAATATAATGAAAAATTACTTAATATTTATTTGAGAGTCATATATTTATCTTTAGAAGATAAGTAGAATGATAAATTTTATCAAAGTCACAGATTGTTATATTTGATAATTTAAAAAAACAGAAGCTTTTTATTCATTGAAATATAATTACTCATTTTAAAAAATTGATCATGCTTATTATATGAAATAAGGGTTTTTATTAACTCCTGTATTATTTATCATAGGAGAAAATTATATCATTTCATTTCTTAACATTATTTCAATTTTTTAAAATCTAAACAAAATTTTTTAATTTGAAAAAATTATCAGATAGATAAAATAAAGATAAAATAGATATAAATAAAAAAATATTTATTATTCTTGAAAAATCAGAAGCACTAGGTAAAATATATTTTAAATAAATTATTTTTTGATATAGATTTAAAATATCAAATTAACGAATCATGAGTTTTCTTTTTTTTACAGCAATAAATTATGAGTCCAATACCTAAAACTCCTGCTCCAATACCAATAATTATCCATAAGGTTTTTTTTCCTTTATCATCTTCTGGATTATCAGGATCAGGAGGATTTGGGCCAGGGGGATCAGGACCGGGGGGATCGGGACCAGGAGGATCGGGACCAGGAGGATCAGGACCAGGGGGATCAGGTCCAGGAGGGACATTTTTTGTTATATTTAATTTGAATGTTGCTGTCGCTGTATGATATGAATTTTTTAAAAGAAATGATACATCTTAATATACTGATTCTTTTTCACTGCATACTTCAATTGATTTTCTTAAAAGATAGTGTTACATGCCGGTTTCCTTACTTTATTATACAAGCAAATGCAATTTTCCAAGATGTTGGTATGCGAATAATTTTAATTAAATTAAGGGAGATTTAATTGATAAATGAGCTATTGCTATTTTAGTTTCTAAATTTTTATTTTCAATATTTATTTCATAAAAAAATACTTCTAATCCATTTTCAATCTCATAAGCTTAAGATAAAATATTTTGATTTATGTAAAAATTTGACTAAATGCTTAATTTTAAATTACCGTATTATTGATATATAGAACTTACTTAAAAATTACTCATCCAACATTTAATATGATCCTTTAAGCATTCATATGTAAAACTAATTTAATAAGAAAGACTTGATTTAAATTCAACGATGAAATTATAATTATCCACAAAATGCATATTGGTACAACTTTATTCTTTGTTATAATAGAATTTTTCATTTAAGAATTATAACACGTTATGTATTCCTTAAAAATATAATTAAGCTTAATTATCAGTAACGTTGAAATTATGGTGAGATAATTGGCATTTCTTATCAATCATGAATATTTAATAGTAATTTTCAAAGATCATAAACTATAAAGTAATAGCATTAAAATTTGTGAAGTTAAATGTCTAAATTAATTTAAAATCACCTATTTATTATGGTTGTCCAGAAGTATTATAAACAGAAACATGACTTGAATCCCATATTAAAAAAGTGGTTTCATTTAGAAAGGCTTTTAAAAATTAGTTTGAAGATGTGAGACTACCTTCATGAAGTTTGCAATTATTATTGATGCATTCAATTACTAAAGCTAAATATTCATCATTATACTTTGCTCCTACATAAATAAGATTATCTTTAATATAAAGAATATGATTAAATGTATATTTATTATCTAATGAAAATTGAGTAGTTTAAAAATCTGCTTTATTAATTAAAATAATTTTATTTTAGATTAATTAAACTAAAGTATTAAGATCAAATTCCATAATAGATTCACTAGATTAAATAGTTTCAGTTTATTTAATTAATGTTTTTTAATATTCGATATCTCCATAAGGTTCTTATAATTCAATATCAAAAGCTTAACCATTATACCATGATTATCCTATTTCAAAACAATGACTTCTATTTTCATCTTTATCATATGTAAAATTTAATTATTTTTTAATTCCAAATAATTAAGTTCCTCTATTTATTAATTTTACAAGAATTTTTTCAATTTATTAATTTTCATCTGAGTTATAAACTCTGCCAGATAAATTTAAAAATTCTTAATGTTAAATTTAATAATAGTCTTAACTCAACTAAATGTTGATTGAATAGCTATCATCAGTATATAAAGAGTATAGAGAGGTATTTATCTTATTTTTATCAGTTATAAATAGATAATTACTGCCATATGAAATTTAGCTCTTTTCAGGTATAGAAATTTCTAAAAATAAGGAATTAATTGCACTTTCTTATAATCTATATATTAAAAGTACTGGTTTTCCATTGTTTAATGCTTCTAAGAACATCATTTTTGAATTATGAACACAACCCTCAGCTATTTTTATTTCTGAATAATCATTAAGATTAATTTCTTTTTCAATATACGGATGCTTTTTGCTATAATAATAATTATTATAAACATAGCCAATTTATTTGCCATTCTTTTTTGCTAAAAGCATTAAATAATCTTTATTTTTATTTTATCCAATGGAAATTAGACCAATATCTACTTCAGTAAATTCTAAATCTATTTAAGTAAACCATAATAATTTAGGAATATACCTTTCTATTGTTTAAAAGAAAAGTAATTTATTTTAGGAAATGATATAAAACTCTGTCTAACTAGGACGATTTACATAAATATTGTCAGCTGGGATAGAAAATATTGGTGAAAATTAGTTATTATTAATTATTAAGATTGCTTCTACTTTATTTTCAACCAACAAATAAAGATAATTTACATTACATTAAATTTTCTTTATTGTACTTTCCATTTCGAATTCATTTATTAAAATAAATTTATCTTTTTATTAGTTATTCGAATAAATTTAAATTGTATTGCCAGATGCAATAGCAAAGAAAAATGTTTATCCAACATTCCACCAAAGTTGAGTTTATGAATCATTTAACTTTATAAAATTAGTTAGATTAAATTGCTAAGAGCAACTTAAAGTTTATTCTATTTAAATACATGTGTATCCAATTAACATTAAATCTTCTTTTTACTCTATAAGTAAGATTTCTCCAAATTCTTATAATGGAAGATTTTTTCTATATATTACATAATTTGGATCTTAAACATTTTTAATTAGAATAGGCCTTATTCTGCTAAAAGTAAGATTTAAATCTTTATGGGGATTAAATTCTAATTTTAAATTTTAACCTTAAAAAGGCTATTGAAATGTCTTATATTAAAGATCATCTAAATATATTCCTTATTTAAACATATCTATAAGTGGTAAATGTAAATATATCTTCTTAGAGGTTCTATCAACAACTGTTTATGAACATTAAATATAACAATTATCATATAATGATTAAATCTGAAATTATTCTGTTTAATTAATCTATTTATTAGATTAAATTCTTAAAATCTCTGAGTTTTCTTTATTCATTGTATAAGCTTCAATATAAAATACATTAAACAATAAAAATGAATCAAGAGTTTTATATGAAGTAATAAATCCATAAAGTAATAGAGTCATATTATGTATCTATTCTAAATTTTAATTGAAAATTTAAAGAGAATCTTCTTTCTCCTATTCTTTCTTTAAAATAATATAATTTTATGTCAAATATACTTTGTCTTTTGACTTTATTGTTTAATTTAATTAATTTTTCCATGTTTAATTCAAACGCAAATATATAGTATCAGGTGAAATAACTACTAATTAATTAAATAAGGGTGAATAATCATATGAAAAAGGATTAATCAATTTTTCAATATAGGTATATTCCAATAATATCCATTATGCTGTTCCAAAAGAATACTCAAGACAAATAAATTAACTTTGATTATTTAAAATAGAAACTTAAAAATTTGTATGAAATTAAAAATCGACTATTAAAAGATCAAATAAATTATCTTAAGTTAATTGTCTTAATAAATCAGTATCAAGAGCATTTAAAAATACTAATGCGCCATTATTTAATTAATATAGCTCTAAAGAATAGTACATATTTCTTAGAATGTAATTATCTAATTAATCAAGTTTTCTTTATAGACCAATTGAATTATTAACTGGAATATATGAATGTTCATCTTGATTTACATGAATAAAATAATCCCCTTCATCATTATGGCATTCAACAATAAACTGTAAATTTATTTCTACTAGATCATAACATGTGGAGTTTGGATAAACATTTAATTCTTAAACTTTATCAATAAATGGAGTAGTTTCAAACATTACAGAATTATAATCAATATAATAGTGTTATCTTCCCCATTTTAATACACTAAAATAATTTGAAATATCCAGATAACCAGAATTTTTATTTAACTTTTATGAGATTAAAGTATATTAATGGCCTTCACTTTCATTGTATTGAGTTTATGTTATCATATTCAAAAAGTAGGGATCAGGGGATTTATTAATTAAAATGTAATTTGAATCGACTTCTTTATCTAAATATAGTTTGTCAAGACCAAAAGTTATATATTCTTCTTAATTGGTTGTTATTTATAATTCATCTTTATTCAATTAGGAACATTGATAACCTTTAGTTAGGGAGATGAGCCCTAAAAAAAAAATTATCATTAAAATTAATATTGAATTTTCATTTTGTATTATTCAGTATTTAAGGGCCGAAATGGTATCTTTAATTACACAAATTAAATTAATATAAATAATTTTTTTATATATTCTTTTCTTTTATAAGTTTGGGCATTTTGCATTATGAAATTCGGAAGTTATTCACATATTAATTATAAATTTGAGAATATTTCTCCTTTGGAAACTACTTGTACCAAGAATTATTACCATATATATTTTCAACATAAATATTATTAAATGTAGTATATTTTTACAGTATTTTACTAAAAACTATTGAAACTATTGAAATCTTACTTTAAAATTTATTTTATGTTAATTACACAACCTTAATCAATTGTAGTTATTCTTTTTATTACAGAAATAAATTTTGGAACCAATTACTAGAATTAATCCTCATCAATCTTAATTATTATCCATGATGAAGATCATAAAGTATAACATCTACGATTAAGAGAAATTATTATATTACATTCAATTTGTATTCTGCTATACCTGTTTTATATGAAATTTTTTAAATAAATATACTCTGTAAATTTTTAAGTAACTAACAGATTGAATTATCATTCAATACATATATATCAAGAATTTTTAATATAGATTCTCCGATATTTTTAAGCAAACAAACTATGTTTTTGGTTTATTTTTCATTTTCAATGTTATTAAATAAATGATAATTTTTTTTTTAAATCAAGACAATCTCCAGTGCTTTGATTAAAAAATCATTCTTAAGCCTCATAGAAATCAACTACAACTGTAGATTTAAATTAAAAGTTTGTTTTGATTTCTATTGTTAAGAAATCATTTTAAAATAAACAAATTAAGTTTCGAATTTTGATGAAAGTTCTGAGTTAGCTATAAAATACTTCATTTTTTTAATAAGCATCTTTTGATAAAATTTTTTTGAACAACATAAAAATTTCTGATAAAAAATTTAAAAAATTTATTACTCTTGTAATGTATTTAATATATGTTAATTAAGAATTGAACTTAATTAATCTATAAACTAATGTGAAAATTTCAAAATATTTTAATTCTAAATGCAATGTGAATAAATTAACAAATATTATTAAAAATAAAGCTATAGAAGTACATATTCTAGCTTAATAAGGTTTAATGATTTCAATAAAAATAATAGATCGCATTTTTTTTCAATTAACTTTTTTAATTAAAATTTGTTTTAATCTAATAATTGTAATTAATAAAACTTAGTATTGATTTACCAAAATTTATCAATTTTTAAGTATTGTATTCCAAAAAATAATCAATAGGTTTGAAAAATGAAAATTACATATATATAATAAATTTTCTTATTGAAATATTGGATAGAGTTTGTAGAGTTTATACAAGTTGAATTTTATAATTAACATTAATATGAAAATCAACCTAGTATCACCTCTTTATTTCCATATTTATTATAGAGTGAAATAAATATCAAAGTAATCCACCACCAATTAGAACTAATTTTATTAGTAATTTAATACCTACTATAAGCACCTCATTTGGAAGATTCTCGAAATTCCATAACATTGTTTGACCAGAAAAAACTTTAAAATTATTGACTGCGTAAATGAATAAACTAATTCATTTAAAGTCGAAAAATTTTTTAAGATTAATTTTATCATTAATTCTATATTTATAAATAGTATGCTCAGAGAATTGACTATTATATTCAATATTAGCTTAAAGATATGGATATTAATAATAAGATAGATATTTACTTAATTTTAATATCATAGAAAAATCTGATAATCAGCATTAATACCATAAATAAAGAGATTTTTTTAACTTCATCAAGTTTTTTAACTTCGATTTAATACACTGCTAAACCAACTTCAATTTCACTATTATAAGCTAGACTAACATGATTAGCTGCAAATGACATCATATTAAATCTCCATAATTTAATAAAACTTATTGTAATTTCAAAGATTATGACTTAAGAGTTATAAATTAATTAATTTTATTATCATTAAAATAGATAAACATTTACTGATTACCATCAACTGCAATATCAAAGACATCAGTGATTTTGTAGCCAGTTCAAAACAAAACAAAAAACTTAAATTATAATAATTTGGATGAACTGATTTCATAAAATTAAGAAAAACAAACTAATCACAGAAATTATTCCTGTTTTTGTCCTCAATAAATCTCTTTTTATATATGTATTTTTTATACCCTTTTTTGCATAATCAAAATCAATAATTCTTTATCAGACCTAATCAAATAAAATTTTGGATAAAACAAAAAAAATCATCCTCAAAAATTCTTACGATATATCTAATATTCCCATTTTTAGAATACTCAAATTCATCTAATTATCTAGACAAATTTAAACACAATAAAATTATCATAAATTCTAATTGAAAAAACCATATATTCTAATATAAAAAAGATAAATTATTAATATAGTAATCTAAATCATATATTTGAAAAAACAGAAAAATCAACAGAATTCAAAAATAAAATTTTAATTGATTATCTAATAATTTCTTCTGCATATGATGGAATGTAGATTAACATATATATAATTCCTTTTTGTATATACTCTTCAATAATTATTTATGAATCATTGAGAATCCTTTAATAAACTATATTCGTAAGTTGAAATCCTTCTAACTTAATTTTCATACCAACAGGAATATAACATTAGATGATAAAATCTAATAAAAAATATAATTTATTTAATAGAATTAGAAAATGAAAAGTATTAATTTTTTTTCTAAATTAAAAATTTTTTCAAAATTTCAGCATGTCTAGTGAGGATTTAATTAATTTAACTTTCTAAATTATATTCTAAGAAAAAGCTTAAAAATATCAGCAGGATTTTAAATAAATTGGAATTAGAAGAATAGTAGATTTAACCAAGTACTTGAAAACAAAGTTATGGAATAAAATAGAGGATTTTGAGAAAAAGAAATGGATATTGGTTGAAGTCTTATCCTAATTCTTCAGATAAGATTAATAAATTTTTAATTCTATTAAGATATTGTTAGAAAGCGGAGTGATTTCCTTAGATGTACTAAATGATTTAGATGAAAGTGATTGGATAGAATATAAAATTTAAGATTTAAAGGATCATTTTAAGAAATTCCTTATCATTGATCCATAATTAAAAAATTAATTAGAAAAATTACTTTAGTGTGAGTAAAGGAAAAATGTGATTACTAACCTTATAAATTATTAAGTTTTAAATTATTAAACATTAAGTTTACTATAGGAATCGGAAGCAATAAGTTTAGGTTTTAATAAAATTTAACTCAAATAATTACTGAAATAGAATTCATCATAAAATTAACAACCACATTAAGAAAATAAAAGGCTAGTTGATCTAAAATCAAAATCAGAACGATTAGAAAATATAAATGATTTATAAATTTACTTATCCTTAAATAAATGAAAGAAATACTGCTGAATATAAAACTTTAATAGTAATTGGAGAATCTGGTAGTGGCAAAACAAGTTTTCTTAATTTTTTGTGCAATTATTATTTAGGAGTAAAATCGGAAGATAATTTCAGATTTCTGTTAATTAAAGAAAATCTTTATGGTAAGAGTTAAGCTATGAGTTAAACTTAAGATATAAATATTTATTATTTGAGACCTTATGATAAATTGGTTGGTTTAAAGATAATTGATACTCCAGGATTTGGTGATTCAAGAGGTATAGAATAGGACATGAAGATTGCGTAGCAAATAAAAGAATTATTTTAAAAGAAAGTGGAAACAGTTACAGCGATATGTTTTGTAGTTAAAGCAAGTTAATCAAGATCAACGATAAGCTAAAATTATATTTTAAATTAGATGAAATAATATTTTGGATTAGATGTTAAATAAAATATTATTTTTATATTTCCATTTAGCACAGCAGAAAACCCTTTAGCAATAGAATCTTTAAGATTTTAAGGAAATGAATCATAAATGGCTAATGAAGTTAGTGAGCTTGTAAATGAATTTATAGATAAATCGATGAAAACTAAGGATGAGTGGTTTTTTAAAGTTGATAATAAAGCAATATTATATAATTTCAATAGTTCTAATGAGCAAGAGTGTTAATTCTATAAATTTCTGTGGGATATGTCATATTCATCTTTTCAAAAATTAATTGAGAATAAATTATTAAGAATCAAGGATAATAGCTTGTAATTGACTAAAGCAGTAATTGCAAAAAGAGACAATTTGGTTTTATAAGTTTAGGCTTATAAATAAAAGTTAAACAAAAATGTAGAATTATAAAAAGCTATTTATGATGAAATAGAAAAAATAGAAAAATGGGACGAGAAAATAAGCAATGCAAAAAATAACATTCAATTTTATAAGGAAAAAAAAGTCAAGGTTCCTATTTCTAAAGACGAATCAGTAACAAATTGCAACATTTGTGAAAATACGTGCCATTATATTTGTTTTATTGATGGAAATAATAAGTTGTATTGCGAAGCAATGGATGATTTTTATAATTGTACTATTTGTGAAAAAAAATGTCATTATACTGCACATTAGAATGATAGATTTAGATATGAAATTAATTTAGAAGCAGATGAAATTGAAGTAGAAAAATATCAAAAAAAATGCCAGGATAAAAAATTAAGTAAATAGCAAATTTTAAAGGATATAGAAGAACAATAGAAGTAAAATTCTGTTTAATTTTTGTAAAATGCTCAAAAAATATTTGAAATTTATAATGAATTAAGAACAATTGCATTAGCTCCTAGTCACTATGAAAATCAAGCCTAAATAGTAGAGGAAATGATATAGTAAGAGTTATCAGAATAAAACGATGGTTATGTAAAACGAGTTGCAATTTTAAGATAATTAAAAGAATAATTGGAAGATATTCAAGAAGTTAGTTCAAAAAGTAAAAGTATAGCAAATGAGGAGTAATAAGGAAAAAAGGATTAATTGGAAGATTTACTAAAACCGTCATAGTCCCTTACTTCGACCAACAGATCAAGATCAGTAGCACCAACTAAAAGGAGTTGATATTAAAATTGATTTAAATAAATAATAAAAATTTTGTATTTTATTTGATATTATTGATAACTCATATAAATTGGTATTTGTCACCAAAAAACATTAGTGACAGTTTCCCATAATGATTTATTTTGTTGATCTTGTTATTCAGATTTATGTTATCTTAATAAAACATACCCTGTATCAGATGTGAATGCATTAAGAAGGGTGAGTTGAACATATTATTCAGTTAATTCACCACCAACATTGAAAACATAGAGTTGGAAGGTGGGATTCAAATAATAAGTTTAGAGTAAGTTTTCTTTGATTTCAAAGTTTGTGATAATGTTAGCATAGAGTCTTGGCTAGAAATAATAAATAAAATATGATTACGAATGGTATATTCTTGGGTATATAGACTACAAAATCAGTAACTTAAGGATATCCGAATTTGGATTGAGTTCCTCCTACAAATTTGATTAGTGGTACTCCTTAAATAGGATCTTTGGGCAAGAGATATGAGGCTAGGAGTAATTGACTATTATCAGAATAGGCAATAACAGCATAGTCATTACCAATAGAAGCTTTGTTTAGAGCAGGCCAGTTGGAATATTGATTTAAGAGATAGATGACATTTTAATAGGATAAGGGTAATCCAGATGATACATTTTTAGCATCAAAAATCAATTAGATAGCATAATGGGCAGATGTATCAGTTGTAATAAGTACTTTAATTCTAAGAGTTAAATCTGTTGTTTAATATAATGGTGTAGTTAATGGTAATACTTAAAAATATTAGGAAGATGAAGCCACAAATTATCCTTGATTTATGAAAGTATATAGATTCAATGATTAGAAAGCAGTTTGCCATGTAATGACTCCAAAAGTACTTAAAGTTCCATCAATTGCATATAAGTTTTATTTGGCATCAACGATAAGAACTTTAAGATAATTGGTGACACCAACTTTGAATGGAGCAATGTAAAAACTGCTGAAATAAGATGATTAATTTCCAAAGAATGCTTTATCAAATGTTTTTTGTAAATCAAATGTAACCTATTATGTATCAGCAGACCATTTATAGACTTGAAGAGAACCTTCAAAGCTTTTTGGTCTTTAAGGATTACCATTTAAGACAAACACATAGTTACCTTAGACAGCAAGTTAGGAGACTGTGAAAACTCCATCAATAGATTAAATGGAACCAAATTAATGACATTCAAGTAATCCAGTGGTTGTACATTTAGCTACATGGAATACTTTATTATTATTGAGTTGACATGTAGCAAAGATATATGCACCATCTTCAGTTGCAACAATGTGATCACATGTTTATGATTGAGTTGTTGATAAAGATATAGAATAACTAGATTCTTCATTATTTTCACTATCAGCTATCAAAACTCTAAGTGTTTCTTTGTTAGATAAATAGATTGTTCTTGAACCTTTATATGGCGCAGCATCAACAATATGATAACCATTAAATGTACCAGAATCCATTTATTATACAGTCTATATTGGTCGAACATATGAATCACATTAATTACAATCAATATCTAATGAGACTGCTTAACCTTCAAACCAATCTGCTACTAAATCGATATTTTATTCTGACTTTGTTGCATTCAAAGGTCTATAATCAAGAACATTTTATTCAATTCTTATTGTAGTTTAAGTATTCACTAAATTGATTACTTAATAATAAGTGATTGGAGTAATATCATTATAATTAGTAACTTAGAATTTAATTGTGTAAACTGAGAAATATGATTATGAATCATAACTTGGTTATATTGTTAAAATTGGATAATTGAAATAAGAATACACTTTCTATAATGTACCACTATTTACATAGAATACCATCTAATTTGATCCTGCTGTTGACATAACAAGTGATGTTCCATCTGCTATCTTACTACCTAAAGGAATCACTTTCATCAGAGAATCTCTTAACAATTTTCCTGGACCATATACCAAAACTACTGTCTATGCACTCTTACTATCATATGCTCTCACAAATAGAACTCCAGTATCAGAACAGAAATCTGATTATAATGGAGTTTATAGAGTATACCAATATAATGGAATATTTTTCATCAAATGGATTGAATTCAGATTCTAAAGATCATATTCTTAAATTAAATTTTAAGTGCTAGATTTTAATACTATAAAGAAACTCTCTAATCCTACTGCCACATCTATTGATCCTTTACTCAACATTATTGTCTTTATTATTGTGAATTCTGCATGATAATCTGCTACTATCACATTATCATCATTTGCTATAAACATCAAATAAGAATTATGAACTCTATTTCCAAATATTCTTTATGGATTCCAAGAACCTGTAAATCCTCTATATCTAAGCATTACTTCTGTTAAAGAATATTCCAATTCAAATGGACTATATGTTGAACGAATATCTATTTATTTCTTATTTCCCAAAATAAAATAAAATCTATCCTTCAATACTGTTACACTTGATATTTTGTTTTAACTTTCTTATGGGTATGTTATTGAATCTATTTCATTAGTTCCATTTACACCACTCATTCTAATTGTGGCTTAATAATCATTATCCAATGTTAAATGATATATATTAAATCCCTAATACCACCAAATGAAATTATTCAAATTCAATGTAGATTTCAATGAAAATTTCTAATATTCCTAACATACAGATCTTGCTTTGAATTTATCTCTTATGTGACATTAATACATTGTTACATTCTTGTCTTATGTTTATAATAATAAAGCATAACTTTCATCATTTGCATCCAATACCAACACATCAGAGTAAATCACTTAAGATGGACTTGGTAAACTTATTGATTCAAGAAGCATTTCTTATAATTAAGTAATCTTTGCTGTCACTGTTGTAGAATCCAATTAAGATACTAATTGATTATAATTCAAATTAGGTCCTGATGCTAATGGATCAATATTGAATGGTTCAGGTATATCATAAATCAAATTAGGAAGTTACAATTCATCTGTGGGCTACACTGAATAATCACTAGCATTGTACACCCTGTAATTTATTGTCACCTTACATTAACTTGAATATGTATCTGTTGCTATCAATTAAAATTGTTATAATGTTTAAGTAGTGTTTTATGTGCTTGGAAATCTTAACAAACCATGAGTTAATGAATATCTTCTTGAATCTACCTATGTTATTGATATCAACTCTGTTTCATATGGATTTATTATGTATCCTTTTGCTCCTTCTAACACTTCTTTATAAATGAAATCCTCATGCTCTGTGCTGAACAAATATGTGGTTCCTTTCTATTATATTATCAAGAACTATTATGAAATTACTAATGTTGCTGGATAAGATGCTGAAAAATCCAAAATATAATTATTTATGGGTTTCTTACCCTCCACTACTTAAACATAATCATTATATAAAATAGCTATGACTTCTTTAATTGTGCCATCATCTTACAATAGATAATCTACATCGAATTCATAAGCTTGATCTTTTGAAGTTACGATTCTATCAACGAAAACAAATTCACCATTTCCCTAGAATTCTAAAATATAGATTCCATCCTTTGCTGTCAAAATATAAACTAATCCATTTGGAAATACCTTGAAATCAATCAAAGAGAAAATGAATTTTTCTGGATTTTATACATCTGTGATAACTCCTAAAGTTGGTGCATCTAAAACACTTTATAATCTAGGTGTTCCATCACTTCCAATATAGAATACTTCAAGAAGAGAGGATTAATCTAATCCTGTTTTTTCAGTTGCATATGCAGGAGTAGCTCTGAAGAAGTAAGTATGTTCATGTCCTAATTTATTGGTGAAGACAACAGATTATGAAATTCTTTTAGTATTGACCTTGTAATTATTGTAGTTTCCATTCTAATGAATTCTTGAATTACCATTTTTGTCAACAATGAAAAATTTATTAGTAAATGGCAATTTTTGACTATCAATACAATCTAGAATGAATTGATCCTTATTCAAATAATCTACACCAAGACATGAAAGATAAGCACTTCCTGTAATGACACTTAATTTCTTATTGAATTAAGGAGGAGTAGCATTGTCTCCTTATGCACCTTCTGCATAAAATAAATCAATAGAATCCAATTCTACTTCAATAAAGACAAAATGATTCATCCACACTCTTTGATCTTTCTCAGTCAAGGCACGAGAGGCTGTCACTCTATTAATTGATTCAAAATGAGGTTTTGGACTACTTAATTAAGCAAATGGTTTTTGAATTTGAAACATTGATTAAGGAGGGCTGAGGGAATAAGTCAAATAAGCTCCTTCAAAGAAAGTATCTTTCAAATCCCATTCAATAGTTTCACCTGTAGAGGGAAATACTTTAACTGAACTAAGTTTTGTATCACATGGTTAGAGTTTGAGTTACTCATGAGCTGCTACTGCAATTACGATCAAAATAAAGATTTTTGATGTCATCGCAATAAATAAAAATAATAATATGGCACAATGAATATGAAAATATATATTTCTGCATAATGATGTCATGTTATATGTGGAAAAATTAAACATATTCACCATTAATTAATTAATTATGATTATATTACGCATGTACCTATTGTCATTATTGCCAATAATGGTATTCCCTACCTGTGGTAAGAGATCTCATTTAATTTTAGTTACTCGAGTGGAATAAGATCATGTTTATCCTACAGTAAGGGAATATTATAAATGGGATATCAAAAATTTTATAACAGGGGATAATTTAGTTTATCAAAAGGATTCTCCAACAACTCTTTTCTAACTTGAATAACCTCTACACAAAATAAGTGAAGTGGATCATTATACTGGTAATATAATTATAATTGATTTTAGCAAATCTTGATATAATTGCAATAAGAGCTTTCGATATTCCTGAAACAGGAGCATGGACCAACGATTTTGCATTCATGGGTCAAGATCCTGATGATTATTCTTGGTGGATTTACTATTCAGAAGGGTAATGATTAATAAATATCATATATTAGAAAACAAGTATAAATGAATTGGGCTCCTTAATTTACAAATAATATTTAATTTGAAAATTAAAATAAGTTGATTAAATGTTTGGATCTTGAATATATAGACAGGAATACATTTTTGGTTGATTGTGTTGAACCATAAGAATAAACAGGTGATGATCCTATACCTGCAAAAAACTATGTCTATATTATAAAGAAGGGAGATCCTCCTGAGATTAAGACAGAATTCTCATATTCTAGAAAATATCAGACTGTGACAGACAGAAAGGTATAGTATCATGTTTACAATGCTTAAAATATTGGTGAAAGTCCTAATGAAGAACCTTTAAGGATCTTATTAAGAGGTCAATATGCCTATGGAACTCCAGGCAGTAGTATCAATAATTTAGATGGAGATTGTATTATTGATTTATTAAGAAATAATGAAAAGAATGATATTGTAGAGACAACATAACATTTAGATAGAGGATTATTAATACAAGATTTAGGTATAAAAGAAGAAGATAGAGAGAATTTTAAATTTACTTTGATTGATTTTAAAGTAATGCCAAATGGTGATATTTATGTATTAGATGCCTTTAATGGAATATTTATATATTATATAAATTCAAAATCTGAATTTAAATTTAAGAAAAAAATAGATGTTGGAACTGATTTAGCTTATGCATTTGATGTTAATAATAAGATAGACTTTTAAGGCATTAATCATGTTCATATAGCAGTAGTTCATAAGAAATCAGTAGTAGAATATATAGATGGAGTACAAAAAGGTGGATGGTTAGATGCATTTGAAGCAAGACATCCTTCATTTATATTTGCAAGTTAATAATTTTTAATTGTAAATCCAGGAGGAAATAATCTGTATTTATACAATTCTGATCATTAATATTTGATCCATACAGATACATTAATTTAAAATATATATTTGGTCAATCCCTATGAACCAGATTTGATTGCTATTACAAATTCATTTGCTTACAGATATGAAATAGGATATGCTAGAATAGCAGTATATTCTTATGAAGCAACATTGGGAAATAATACAGTATATTTTTCAGCCATAGGTTCAGATTAGAGAAAATGTACTGCTTTTTTGAAATATTAAATAATACCTGAGAATGATACTCAAATTTATGATGTTGATCATGATCCATTCCCTAAGGTAATGTAACATCCTTCTGAACCAATTGAAGTTTAAGAATTTGCAGCAGGACCAAACTTGATATATGCAAATGGAGATGATTCATAAAAAGATCATGTTATTGTAGATATTCATACAATTTGGGAACTTAATATTACAGGATTGATGTTTCCTACTGTTTCAGATGTAGCATATGCTGATATACTTATTGATCCTCATTGGACTGATAATTATAAGTTTTGGTTCCTTTATTAATTGGAATCCAATAAATAAATTGAAATCTTTGAATGTGTCACCTAAACTAAATTATCAAGAGATGTTCATTGTGAAGAACATGTTAAATTTAAAATTCCAAATAAATTAGATCCAATTAATTCATAATTTGATTGGGATGCAGAAGAAGGTGATATCTTAACACTGTAATTTATTGAACATGATTATTAAATATCAATCTATGAAAGTAGTCATGATTCCTCAGATCCATTGTATTTTATAAAATATGATTAATTACCTGAAAATAAGATCACATCATTCACTGTTTTGAGAAAAGCAATCTATGTTGTGTTGCCTAATAAAAAAGAAGTTGATGCCTGGTTTGGATTCTTTCCTACACCCACTTAACATATTATCTCTAGTTAAACTATGAAAGATTAGGGAAGTGAAAGAATTTTTGAACCTAAAAGAGTTTTTGGTAATCCTGCTCTTAAAAGTGAATTCGTATTGATTTAATCAAAAGATTGTATTTTCTTTGGAGATATGAGAAATACCTTCACTTTGATTTATATTTTTGACATCATACCTGATGCTGAAGTTAGAGCATATCTAGGTATGAAAACTATATTTATCGTTTAAAAAAGTCCTACTTTAGGATTCAAGATTTAAGAGTACAATTATGAAAAATTGAACAATATTTATTTGATGAAAGAATTACCACTTTATGATTATGTTATTCAATCTCCATTAACTACTGACTTCTGTTATTAAACTGGATTCTTATTTGTACGTGCATTAGATCAATCATCTTAAGAAACAGTAATCTTAGTTTATGAATCAGATGTTCTCTATTAATTATCATTACATAAAGTAATTAAAACACATTTAAAAATCAATGATGGCCAAACTATGAATATGGCTGCTGCTGGACATGATTAAATGTACATGTATGTCAACAATCAACAAAATGTATAAAAAATGATTGGATTTTTAAGAGATGCTGTTGCAATATTATAACCATCTCATCTATCTAATCAATATGTAACAGATTTAAAGGCTACTGTTAATATCACGAATTAAGCAGTAACAAAACCAAAATCTATTGTATATGATATGAAATATATCAATACTTAAACGTATATAAACGTTAATTAAGATGAATTGTCTAAATAAAACGGACAATTTGTATTCGTCAATTAAGCAGCAGATTAACATGTAGAAGTCAACACAACTGGATGGTAGTCTGGATAAGTTATCAAGTATGACATTACTTGTGATTAATGTGAATCCCATTTAATTCAGGGTGTTTAACCAGTTTATCATATTACTGATGGATCACAATATTAATAACATTTTGTTGATGGAGTCGCTGCAAATCATGAAATGATATTTTAAACAAGTGATTCAATAATCCTCTAAGATGCAAAAGGAAATTGGGTTGGAACACATAAATTACCAGTTGGTACTGGTGCTGATTGTATATCAATTACAGCTACTGATGATGGAATAGTTGTATTTAGTGGATGTATTGAAAGAGGCATTGTTAATATTTATCTATCATTTTGTGATGGTAAGTCATGCTCTGCTGCTACACCTCCTCTTTAATAAATTGCATAAGGTGCTAGACGTCCATCCAAACTATTATACAGAGATGGAATCTTATTTGTTTTGGATAATTATAATGATAAACCTACTTATTCTGATGGAACTGTAAGAGTACATAAGGTTAATCTTAATTAAGAAGCTAAAACTTGGGATCTTGATGCAGGAAAGGTCATTAATTCATCGTTTTTAAGTACTGATCTTACTATTCCATTCTAAGCTTCAGATTTTGATGTTATCAAATATGACGTTGGTAATGTAAATTATTATAAGATTTTATTATCCAGTGCCCTTTTAAGAATATGGTTTGTTGATATATTTTGGGATAATGGAAACATTAATTTTATTTAGCATGATAAATTTGAGATTTATGAATTAATTTAAAATAAATTTGCTATCGATGATTTAACTCGTTTCTATTAAATTCGAGCAGTTAAATCAACTAAAAAAGATAATAAACTTTATACAACTGCTTTAATATCAACAAATAATATGGCTACTTATGGTGTCACATTCATTTTTGATATTTCAGAACCTTCAAATAAAGGAGCACCTGTACAAAGAGATGCGACTGTTCCGTTTTTACTTGCCAATTATGGAACATGGAAATAACTAAACAAACTTACTCTTTTTGAAGATCATGTAGCTATTGCTTATACAGATTCAAAATAGAGTATAATTTTGGTGGCTGTTTATTTATTGCCATCTATTAATCATAATGCTATTTAAGAAGAAGGGGAAACAAAAATTATCACACTTATTGGAGGTGAATAAGATCAATAGCAAGTACAAATCTCTACATAATTCGTAATGACACTATCCAAAGATGTTGAATAAGCAAGGGTAATAATATTATTTTTATATTATAGCCTGTTCTTCATACAAATCTTGTTTATAATATTGCATAAAAAGAAAATATGTTAATAAAATATGGAGTTCATGATTATCCAAGATTATTGATACAAAAGGGAGATTAGATTAAAGAACAAAATGTTTATATCACTGCTAGAAATGATTATGGATCTGCTAAAGGTGTTATTCATTTAACTAAAAAAAATCCACCTGGTCCTGATCCCCCTGGTCCTAATCCTCCTGGTCCTGATGATGATGATTCGTAATTCTAATTTATATCCCTTTAGTTCAAGTAGTAATTGGTGGTGGATTACTTTAATTGTCATCCTTGGAGTTGCTATCCTTGGTATTGTTGGATATTTTGCTTATCAAAGATTTTATAAAAGACAAAACACTCTTTTAATAGATTAATCATCTTGATTTATCATAATAATAATTTAAATATTAAATCCTAAAATTCATCTGTTTATTGCTGCAATTTAAATATAATCGTTGATATTTTCATTTTATTTTCAATTTAAGCTTCCCTAAGTAATAATTAATAATATATTTTATATATATAATTTTTCAGACATCATTTTATAATATCATTTTATATAATTTATTCATTTCAGATTCTTGAGTATTTGACCTTTTGATTCAATGCTCCAATTACAACTTTATTGATTATTGTCAATTATTTAATTGGAGTCATTATATAAATCTTAATTAAATTATTCATATAATTCATGTTTGAATTAACTATTTTAGTATAAAAGAAAAACTTTTAAACCTTCTCCCATGTTTATTTCATCATAAGGTTTTACTTTGAAATAAGGATTAGGCTAATTTAAGTATTTTTCTTTTATATATGTATAGAAGCGATTTTTTACCATATTTTCCTATTATATAAATGATCAATATTATACAGATCTCCCTGTCATTTTTTCTGATATTTTACTCCATTAAGGTCCATTCTTTAAATATTCTTAGTAAATTCTTTAATCTTCATCCTCAGTCATAGGACTATGATTAAGATTTGGATCTAGAACATTTTTAAACCTTCTTCTAACTTATTTACCTGTTTTATTTATCATTTATCGAGCTATGGTATTCCATGATGGACCCACCTCCTTAAAAATTCTTAACAAAGTTTGATCCTCATTTTAAGTCCATCGTTTAGCCTTATATGTTTGAAAGCCTTAGGACTTTTTAATTTTCTTCCATCTCTAACAACATTAAGAAGCATTTCTTTATTCCATTTGTTATGCTACCATAAGCCAACGATGACCATATAGTGAAACATAAGCAATTAAATTTTAATCTTCCTCAGGTGTCCATTTAGTTCTTAAAATAATTGAAAAATCTTTTTTTTAAATGCCTTCCTCATCAATATTTGTTTTATGCTTATGATTTTATTTCCTGCCCTTGTTTTTAAGACTCATCCAGATTATATAAAGAAGATTTAATTAATTTGAGCAATATCTATTTTTTCACTCTATATATATGCTTATTTAAAAATTTTTTGATAGATATGAATAATATTAATAAGAACTACTTGAACTTGATTTATTAGAGAATATCTGGGATAATATGCTTTTTCTAAGTATAATATATTTATATATAGCATTTTTGTAAATAAAAATTCTAACGGGAGTAGAGTAATTCTGAAATCTCTAAATTTTCCTCACTTAAAGCTTATTCCCATCAAATGCAATAAGAACAATTCATAAAATAATGAGAATTCATAAGAAAATTAATTACGTCAGTATTTTATTCGTATATGTCTTAAAGACTTTTTTAACAATTTAGTATAAAAGATTGGTAAGTCTCAGCGTAGAAAATCTTAAATATTTTGAGTAAGAAATTCTAATTATTATATAACAGAAACAGCAATTAACAACCTAAAATATGTTTATATTATTTTATATAAATAATATTTATTATTGTAAAATATTTTAATTTCCTTTTAATCCGAAAAATATCAGATTTGCAAGTCATTAAATATTAAATTTATTTGAGTTCAAACTGCAAAATTAAGCGTTCAGAATAGTTTTCTTGAAAGGTATCTATTTTTATTTTTTAATAAATATATGGTTAATAGTCTTTTATTTATAAGTAATATCATATAAATAATTTTTAATAGCTTGATAGTTCTAGTTTTGTAGACAAATTTCGAAATAACTGATTAAGGGTAAACTCCGTGATAAAAACATATTATCGGTTAGAATTTAATATAAATATTATTTGATAAACATTAATATAAATGAAAAAAAATCATAATTTGATTGCTTAAATAATCTGATTTTGGTAATGTAAACTTAAATAAAAAGATAAAAGAAAAGATATTAAGAAAATGAATTTATCCAATTTTCTAGAAGCTGGTTTAATATTGGCTCTTTCAATCAAACTATTGTTAAATTTTTAAACATCTTGCTATCATAATTAAAAAAGAATAATTACTAATTCTTATTCTTTTTTTGTGACTTCTTATTGTAATACTTCAAATTTATTGCAAAAGTATTCAGCTTCAACTTTAGCTTTATCAGCAGTAGGTATAGCAATAACACGTGTGGGTTCTACTTATCCAAATTATTTATTAACAGATTAGAACATTTGACTTGAATTTCCTTGACTTTATGCAACGATTTTTCTATCTTTGGTAAGAATAGCAATATTAATTCTTTATTTTTCAAATCTCCTCATTTTATCTAAAAAAATAGGTCCAGCATCTTGAACACCTTGAGGAATGATTGTTGTAATCAATTATAGTTTTTCATTGAAATCTTTAATTGAATTATTTTCAAGAACTTTGCTATGAAGTGTTATATTGACTAATTAACTCTATCTAGGTAAAACTATTCCTAAAGGTGGCCTGACCAAGAAAATGTTGAGATTAGTAGCCTTAAACTAAAGATTAGTATTGAATAAAATTACCTTAAAAGCAATTGGATGTTAAGTATCATTATATAAAGTGATAGAGGAATGCATATTGTCTAATTTATTATATTCGAAATCAACTTGAGGAGAACTTAATCTTAGTGTGTCCATGTTTATAAATAATTTAATTAAATCACTTCACAATAACATTAGCAATCAGAGGGCCCAAAAATATCCATCCAACAGTTACACCTACAGTTAAAAGTAAAGCAGTTAATAGGAACTTACAAATTTTATTATACAAATCAGGACCTAAAATTAATATTTGTAATAACCCATAATATCCTTAATAAAACCAAGTGGATTAGTGATATCAAATGATAATCTACCAGTAGGTTCATTTAATGGAGGAAAAACATTAGGAGGATTTCTTCCATAACCATTAGGTTTATTTTCAGCCTCAGTCAAAGGTAATAATTCAAAAGAACATAAAACTTATCCTTATGATATTTTCTATCCTTCTTCATCTACTGCATCTGGATGATAAACATCTAACTAAATTTTATAATAATTTAAATAGATACCCAAAATCTATCTGTAATTACACCACCTTTTTCTCTTATTCTTTAATTAATTTATGTAGCTTAAAGTCTCTTTACTGCTTTATCAATCATTTTATGTGTATGTAAACTAAAAGTAGTTTCTCCAATTAATTCATCTGATCCTATAATATCCTTATCCCACAATTATATTTTAAATTTATCAGTTCCAAATTCATCAGGAAGGGGAGGATATGTGACTTTATTTTTAATTCTCCAATTAAAAGATCCTTTTGCTCTACATCTCCAATGAATATCTGTTTCTTAAAGTTCTTAATTTGCAATTCCTGCTTTACAATATAAATCATTGCATTTTTCCAATTCATCTTTAAATACACAATTTCTAGTTTCAAAAATAATTACTCTTAACTCAAATTAATAACGAGGTGGAGCAGTAATTTTAATTAATGGTTATTATTTTGCAAATACCTTTTCAATTAAATCAATCCATAATTATAATCTACCTACTGAAGATCCAAATTCATCTTTAATATTTCTATTTTCTATAGGTTTCATTTAATATTAATGCCACATTACAGAAAAATATCTATCTTCTAAATCAATTAATGATGTACCAACCAATTCATCACCAATTGATTAGGCACTCCAAATTTCAATTTCTAGAATTGCAGAACCTGGAACTTCCATTTATAATTCAAATGGAAAATAAAATTAAGGACTATTTGTACCTTATCTTAATGAAATCTATTTTAAATCATGTTCCTTTGTTGCAGTTCTTAATTTTACATATAAATCAGGTGGTTCATCACTTCCACTTTAAATATCTATTCCTTATAGGATATATAATCGACATACAAATTATTTAGGTTTCATCATTTTAATATACATATCTCTCTTTTTTTCAATATCCTATCCAGGTTTTACTTCCAAAAATAAACATTTAAAATCACAAACTCTTTAAGGTTCATTTTTCTCTGCTAAAAATTAAGTATCCTTACCTCTATTTTATCCTGTCATTATTGTATATTTTAAAAATTTTTTACTTATTTTCATTTTATCTTCCAAATCATCAGGTAAAAACTTTCTACCCTTTAACCAAACTGGAGTTACATCTAAATCTTCTCCAGGATCTGTATCAAAATCTTCATATGTTTCAATATCTATTATTTTTTTCTTTTTTGGTAATAGAGCTGCAAATCCAAATAATTTAGCTTTTTTAAAACCTTTTTATCCCTTTTTCTTTACTTTAGGTTTTTTAACTGCATCCATATTGTCTTTTTATGCAGAATTCATTGATAATGCTTTCGAAGATACTTTAGATGCTTTTGAAAATGATAAATCAGTTGGAACTTATAATGTCTTTAAAGGCATTTATTATTAAGGTAATTATGATAATTATTGAGATAAATTCATTTGTGGTGAAACAGCTTTAACTTCTTATAATTATTATGATTATCTAAGATTTATTTCTGCTTAATTTTTTATATGTTAATCTGTTTCAAAGACAACTTTTTAATCAACTTAACTTAATGCTCTAATACTTCTTTAAGATCCTGGAATTGGAGGTTAAATAACCTTTTATCCAATTTTCATTTATGAATCATTCATTTTTTATGATTTTTGTTCTGAATGTACAATTTTTGATTCATCTAAATTACCTTAAAAGTTTAATTCTTCAAAATTTTATTGACTAGCTTGACTTCCTCCATTTTTATTTTAAATTGGTGATATTGGAATAGAAGGTTATTTTTATTAGAAATCTTATTATTATGATTATTATCTCTCTATCTGTTATTATTATGATTATCTTCTAGATTAATTATTATCATCTTTTTATATAGATTATTATTTTGATCTAGGTTATTATTATTCAGATTATCTTCTTGATTATTATTTCTAAATTTCAATTTATTATTATTATTATACTATTGGTTATGGTTAAGATTATTATTATGAAGATCTTCTTGATTATTATTATTATTATAATAATTATTATTATTAAGATTCTCTTCTTGATTATTCTTATTATTATTATTCTTATTATAATTATTATTATTATTAAGATTCTCTTCTTGAATATTCTTATTATTATTATTATTGTTATTATGATTCTCTTCTTGATTATTCTTATTATTATTATTATTATTATTATTATTGTTGTTATTATGATTCTCTTCTTGATTATTATTATTATTATTGTGATTCCCTTCTTGATTATTGTTATTATTAAGGTTATGCAATATCTTGTTATTATTATTAAGATTCTCTTCTTGATTAATGAGTTTAATAAGGATTATCTTAATTTGCATCTGGATTTTCCATAGGTTTTGTTACTCTGACAGGTATTTATTCTTCTGGAACTTATTCTTCTTTAGGAAACTATTCAATAATCAAATTGCTTTAATTAGAATAATGAGATTATTATTATTATTATTATTATTAATTTTGCATTTCTTATCCTACTTATAAACCACCTCCAAATGTAGTAGGTCTATATACAGGTATGTCTTCTTGTAAATTCATTAAATCTTATACATGAGATTCTCCTATTTAAGATTATTTAAGTAATTCTTCTTCCTCCTCTCTTATACGTTAATAATCTTCATCTTGTTTTTTTATGAAATCTTAATATTCGTAATCATCAACAACTCTTTTTTTGAAAGGTAATTCTTAAGGAATATTTAAATCAATTTTCTCAAGATCAAATGGTTCATCTTCTTCATTAGCATTAGCTTCTTTAATTTGTGCTAAAGTAAGTGGTTTTTATCTTTCTTCAAATTTTTTCATCAATTCATTTTCTTCTTCATCTGATTCATTAAATTCAGTAGGTAATTACTCTCCAGGTTTCAATTTGATTTTAGTATAATATTCTGCTAATATCCTAGAGAGTTATATAGTTTAAACACCTAAAAGTTTAGGTTTATCTGGTAATTCTTAATTCCAGACATAACAATCAATAACAGGTGAAAAATTTTGATTTTTAGGTACATCAACACTTAATGGAATCAATCTATTTATATTAACACCCTTCTCCTTCACTTTCTTATAATCAGTATAAATTGGATCATAAGAATCACCACTGATGTCAAATGATACACAAACATTACTTGGAGTTATATTTTAAACCATATCTTCAAAATTACGTAATCCTATACAAAATAGATTTAAATCCTATTTTATACAATTTGGATAAATGCTCTCTTCCGGTATAAGATTAGCCTTCTCTTTTGGAATTATTGAATATGCTAACAATATTTAACCTTACACTTCATTTGTAGCATCATACTTTATATTATACCATTTCGGTTTTTTGTAGAACATATCAATAATCTCTTTGTCTGTTTAGAATTACATCTTTTATGCTTCTAAAGTTATCCAAATTCTTCCTATTAAATCATATGTTGCTTTATTATCCTCATCTAAATCTTGATCAAAAACCATTACAAACATTCCTGATGGCACTACAACCTCTTAATCTAATGGATATAATTTCACATTCAATTTTAATGTCTCATACCAACCAGGATTCAATGTCTATAAACATGCCTTTGATTATACAATCTATCCTGCACATCTTATCTTCACTAAAGGATCTGATGTACCTGTGGCATCAGCAGGAGGAATATTTCTTCCTAAATACAAGTATACCCTCAATTAATAATCAAGTTTTATTTTAGGATTAGGTTTATAAGGTATTCTTTTCCCTGGATTCTTACTCATCAATTAAATATTAGCATATAAAAATCCTGGAAATTCATCATCTGATACCAAATCAAGTGATCTATCTTCAGTCAATTTAAGAACTTTTGCTTTGGTTTGAACATCTAATACATCTTTTGCTTTGAGTCTAATAAAACTGTGTCTACGATCTTCTATATTATCATCTGCCATATAAACAATAATGTCTGGTATTTCATCAGGGTTTTTAGGAAAGAGTACTTTTTTATCTGGTAGATTTTCATAGAACATTAGAGATCCATCTTAATTAGTTGCAGGTTAACTGACTAAAAGATATGGTCCCATTTTAATTTGTATAATAGATTATTTTCTAGATGGAAATTCATGTCCTTCAAGTAAATCAACTCTAAGTACATAACTTTTTTATTCCGGAACAGGCATAGGTTTTTCTGGAAATTGATAAATTAAATCTTCTTTATATGTTTTAGCATCTCTTTAATCAAATCGACAAATAGTGAAACAGATTCTTCCTCTATAATGAGATCCCATTGTAGTTCCAAATAAATTCATCATATCAGCCTTTTTAGATTCTCCCCTTAATGGAGCACCATATAGATTAGCCCAAATAGGTTATGATTCATATTCTGGGATTGATTTGAATGGAATTTAAAATGTTCCAACTAAATCATCATCTCCAAGAAGATCATGATCATAAACACTAATATCTACCAATTTACTTTGATTTGGTAACATACAAGCCAAATTCAATTATTAATACCATTCAGGATTTCTACTTGTGATAATTTTAGATTTAATTTTAGATCCTCCATATTTAACAACAACATAAGCATCAATTTCAGGTGCTGTCATATCTAATGGAACCATATGCTCTCCTTTAAGTAAATTGATACGGATACAATGAGGCCATTATTAAATCTTTTTTGGTGTTAAAGTAGCACCTTTAGTGGCATCTGCTTTTTTTTCAGTAGCTACATCATGAACAAATGGTTCATCATTAGGTCCTAATACCATTATATTACAAAGAATATATCCCATTGTTCCTTCTCTTTCATCTGTTGGATCTGAAAGAGCAAGGTATGTACGATATAATTCATGATGCAAACTAAAATATACACTACTCAAATCTAATTCATATGATCCAATTATTTTATTCCCTAATAATGGATTCTTACGATCAATTGCAGCCACATTTATAGTAGCTGTTTATAATTAAGCCTTTTTCATGTCATTTAATTTGAATGAAATCATTTAATTGAAAATTGGACTTAATTAATTCTTAACCACTTTTGTACGTTTCACCTATCCATTTACACTCACTTCTATAAAAGCGCTGCAAGCAGATCCCTTTGAAGAAAGGAGTCCTATACCTGCAAAACCAGATATACTAAAATAATATTAATACATAACATACGTAGGTATAAGATCATTTGCCTCTAGAACTCTAATTTACACTGAATAATCACCTTCAACCATTTTGTAAGTCTAGATTATAATTCTATAAATTTTACTTTGATTTCTTCATCTTCTTTTTATTTTTATGCCATTATAAATAATAATTTTTATTATAAAATATTTATATTTTTTCTTTTTAATGATAAATTTCATGTTTTTACTACCAAACTAGGTATTTAATCTATATTAGCATAAGAATAGATATGTTGTACATAAGGTCCCTTTATGAAAATATCAGAATCAGTCAAATCTTCATTTTACCATTTTATTAATGGATGATCAATAACAGGCATAGAATAATGATATGTCTAAAATAATTTTGCTTCCTTTGTAGATATAGATATCGTATAGGTTTTATTTGATAATAATTTCACTGGATTTCTGAATTCAATATAATATAAATGTCCATCAACAACTTACAATTTATCATGTTCCAAAACTTTATGTTATTTAAAAATATATTTTGTTAAATCTGTATCTTCATGTAATTTATATATTAATTTTGGGGTTTTTACTTATGAATCATAATTTGTGGAATTATAACTTCCTTTATAAAGCATAGGTTAATATATTCCTATTAAATACAATTACTTATCTCTAACTTAAAAAACATTAGCTCTTATAGTAGCCTTATCAAAGATACTTGGCTTACTTTATCCATCATCAGCTAATTTAATAATTAATTTTATATATACCTATCCAAACTTTTCTTAATCTTTCTATTCTTTCTGTTTTTGTATAGAATGTACTATTAACACAATCTAATTGATCAATTACAGATTTTTAAATGTTAGGTATTTTTTCTTGTAAATAAGATGTGAGTTATATCAATTATTATTTACTCTCTTTTTCTTTAAAATGGATTTAATTATTTTAAATGTTTTATTATTGATTTATCAAAAATAATCTCAAATCTTTTATATCATCTTAATTGAATTAATTTAGACTTTGAAGGAACTTATATCCATAATCATTTATCTTTTAATCATTCACTAATTTCAATATAAGTTATCTCAATTCATCTTCAAGTTAATTTAAACGATTTTGAACTGCACTTTTAAAAGTTCTAAATACATTATAAGCTTCCATTCCTTATTTATCCTATATAATCTCATTAACATTTGTATTTCGTTTAAGTAACTTATCTATTTATTTCATATAAATAATTTAGGTTGAATGAGCTAGATGAAGTTTAATACAATTTTAACAAAAGTATTGTTCTTCTTTACACTCTTAATTCAAACATAGATTCGAGATAGGTGCTTGAGGATGCTTTGTGCATTTAATTTTTTGAAATTATTCAATAAAATTCATTAATTTTAATTATTGAAGAATTATTCAATTGTACACAAATCTGACTCTTACATATCAATTTATGAACTTTCCATTATTTTCCAATTTGCTATACTGAAATATTTTCCAGAATATAAATTCTTGTTAATCAATGAAATTTCTTTAAACCATTGTTCCTTTTTCAAATTATACCTCCATCCTTTGGAATAGCTATAATAATTTTTATTAAATACAGATTTTCTACAGCAAACAATTATTATTCTTCATCCATAACATTATAAAATATATAAAGATTAGTTTCTTCAGAAAATAAACTATACATTTCTTTTTTTCTATTCACACTATTAGGACGAGGCATTAATTTTTATTTAATCCAATCATGAGGTTTAGAAAGAGGATCTGGTTAGGTAGCATTATCATCTATAAAAGGTGATATGATTTTTGTAGGTTGTCCAGGAAATCTAATTTTATTTTAATATACTTATTTTCCTAAACAGGTACACCTAATTCATCTAAATTCATCCCATGCCATAATTTATAAATTGGCTTATCCTTATCTTTCTCCCTTTCTGAAACATACTTTTAGAGTGCTGCAAAACCCCACTTTTATTTAAATTCCTCTTCCATTTATTAAATTTTATATTTATTTATTTATATATATATATAATATATATTATGCGAAAAGTAATTCACATAATCAATCATTATTCATTTACTACTCTTTTACTATTATATTAAAAAAAGAGTTTTATTTAATTTACCTCAACATGACTCTATTATATATCATAATAGAAAGTAACAGAAGTTAATAAAGAAATTGTTTAGAATCCTTATTTGGAATAAAGTAAAAAGAGAGCAACCAATTAGTAAATTTATAATTGAAGTTTTTAAGATATTTAATTGAATTCGTTAAGCGATTTATAGTATGAATAAGTAAACTCAATCAATTCTTTTTAATAATGTTGTTAATGTCAAATCTAACTCATGTAAGCAATGCAAATAACTAATTATAAATTATAATACTTAGAATTCAAAGCATTTATTTCATTTTTATTCATCTAATTAAATCCATTCGTAATTCTCAACATTTCTGATACACTCACATAAGCTGTTTATTATTTAGTAAATGAATTTGGTGTTTCTTTCCAACAATTTGAATCAAAATATACAAAGGGTTAAGATGAAGATCTTGGAATGTAAGATTGCTCATAATTTAACCTCTACATTTATTAAGTAATTGCAGGCTTTTAAATTGTCTATCGTAATTATGTGCTTTTAAGAATAAATTCCAATTATTTTTAAGCATTGTTTCTTTTTGGAGTTTTCTCTGCAGTTTGATTTAGTTTTGCTTATTATATTTCTCGAATATAATTTCGAAATTCCACTAACTCTTCTTTTTGTAATTATTGATACATTGATTGTAGTCGTTAATATAAAAATTAATAAATCACACTTTTATCATGTTTGTTCGTACACCATTTTTACTATCACAGTTGGAGGAATTTTATCTTCAAATATTAATTATTATAATGTTTCTTTAGAGATTACTTAGGGTCTATGAATTTAATTTACAATATCCATTAAAATTTAATCACTTAACGCATGATCTTTTCCATCTATTCTTTACGCTAATAGTCTCAATAAACCTTGTATTTCTGTGAATGGAATTTCAATTCTATCTGATCCCATAATGAAATCAAATGTAAATTTTATATATTCTTCAAAAGTACCTTCCTAAAATACAATCAGTTTATAGAAATGTTTAAATGAAGTGAATGTAAATTAATCACTTTTACAAAATGCCCATACTACTCTTTCTACTATTTCATCTTCCTTTCTTATCAAATCCCAAAATACTTAACAATAAGTTAAGAATGTATCTTTTCTAATTGAAATATCATCCTATATCTTTTCTACTTCTGATACATCCAATAATACCTAATTCGATTTACCAAAATCTATTGGATCACTCGAGTTACTTTATCTTGAATTTTTAACTATGAATTAAGGTGATATTTAAGAATTAGGTGTTGGTTAATTATTTGTTTACTTCAAATTCCTCTTATGAAAATCTTATATACTCTAGTAATGACTGATTGATGATATTGTACCAAACTATTATAGTCTTATTTCTGCTCTCTGAAAACCAGAACATACTATTAATTTATCATAGTTTATTAATAAATTCCATTCTTTTACTAGATCTAATTCTTTCGTTGTATTATTTTTTATCATTCTCACATAATTCTCTCTATATAAATATTTTGGATTCCCTTTTTATCTCTCAAAAATTGTATTCTTATCATAATCTAAGTATGTTCTTAATCTTGACCCAAATCCTTTCAAATTTTCATTTAACAATACTACATTTTAAGCATTTTATTCCATCTCTTATGAGACTGTAATATCATCTGTTCTAGAAGATTTATATAATCTAGGCTATGATAAAAATGGAGATTTCCATGACTCTTACAATGGGTTTCTTTCATTAATAACTTAAACTTTCTTCTCCAATTTTTTTAATTCTTTACTTCTATATTCACTTTATTAAAGTGGATGAAGACCTTTTAACGCTTTCTCAAATAAAAGAGTAGGTTTTGATGGTAATTATTTATAATGTTTTAACAGATCATTTCTTGAAAAATCTGAATTGATAATACTATGTTAAGCATCATCATATAAAGGAATAACAATATCAATTAATTACTTTTAAAAATTCCTTTTTTCAACTATTGATTCTAATTTTCTTTCATCATTAAATTTAGATCTTTGTGAAGAACTTAATAATTATTTTGACTAACTAGGAATTTTTAATTTAGGTAAAACCGGCTTTAGTAATTAATTGTTTTTGTTTGAGTACATGGTAAATAATTGAAAAGGAACAATATAATTTTAATTATTTTTAATAAAAATATAACTTGTTTAAATGAATAAACATTAAAATAAAATCAGAAAAAATTATTCTGTATCTTTATGCTTCCACAACCCTTCTCTAAACTAATAATATATCCAGATTTTCTATTAAAATTTATGTTTTTTGTATTTTTAGTTAATAAATATAATTGTTATTTAAATTATTTGAGTCAATTTTAATTAAGAAACAAAATATAAGGATAAAAACCTTAATTTTTTAGTCTAACAAATCATAGTTCATTATATTAACAATTATTATTTTTAAAGATATATTTGTTAGCAAAAACAATAAAAATATAAGAAATATTTATTTTAAATATGAATTTCATATTATTTTATTTAAGTTTGCTTTATATTGCATAGGGATGTTCAAAAATCGACAATAATTAATTAGACTTGAGTTTGATAGAAAATGAAATAATCTATTTAGAAGTTGACCAACTCTATATTTCAGAAGAAGAATATTAACTTGAATTAGATCCTTCAAATAAAATTGTTTAAATTATTGATATAATTGAATTGGAATCTTAAATTCCATCTTAGGTCTCAGAAGAACCTGTCATTACAAATTTTTATTAAAACCCAAATTTAATAACTTAGAGTAGTATTTTGATTACAGATGAGAATAATAATTTACTGTAATATTCTCTATTCAGTAATACAATAACAAAATTAAATGTGCCTTTTAAAGATTAATTATATTTTTTTAGTCTTATTTAGATTATTTCTGAAGCCAAAACATATTTGATAGGGGATTGTAGTAAAATAGGATAAACTAATATTCTATTATATGAGGAGAAAATAAATGGCTATGAAGAAATTTTTGCATATAGAATTCCTTTTTAATAAAATAGTTTGAATAACTTTCTTGTATTTTCTTAGAATAATTTTTATAGATCAAACTTTTAATTTGTTGAATCATATAAAATAGAAGATGGAAAGATTAAATTGTAAGAATATCTTTAAAAAGGTAAAAAAAATGAAGAAGATTAAGATTGTGGTCCTATATCAAATATAATAAAAATAAAAGGACATTAAAATAGTATTAGCTTTATTGATTCTACTGATCTTGTTATTATATAAACAAAAAAGAATTAAAATACTTAAAAATGTATAAAATTTGATGAAAAATTGATTGCTTATGATTATGATGAAGTTCATGATTAATTTGTTGTTTTAACAGAAAAAAAATTGATTTTTGACAAATATTCTAAAAACATCTCTATTAAGTTTTATGAAGATTTAACTGAAGTTTTTATTACTTAGAATTATATTTTACTTTCTTTGGGTAATAAAATTCAAATTTTTTCAAAAAAAAATCTCTTTTTTTTGGAATAAATTGAGAGTGAAAAATTTTTTAAGATTGAAGTAGATGCTATTTAGCATCTTTTTTTTCTAATTGAATCGGATTTTATAAAGAAATATCAATTTAATTTACAACCAATGATTAAAATATCAAAAGTAAAAGAAGATATAACATTTAATTTAAATAAAATAGTAAAAGGAAAAGTAAATTGTTAACTAAAAATAAATTTGAATTATTAAATTTTGAATTACGCTAATTTAATTGTAAAATTGATGTAAAACAATTTAGCCTCTTCATTTTTATAGATTGTTGATAAATGTGAAGGCAAAAGTAATCCTATTTCAATTTTAGAATAAATAAATGAAAATTTTAATACAAAATCTATGCTTGAATTACCTTCATTATCTGAAAAAAGGTTTTTATTATTTTAAGATGAGTAAGATAATATAGTTCTATATGTATGCTCAAAATTTTTAGAATGCTTAGATAAATATTATTTCTAAATAGATATTCTAGATTTTGATAAAGCTAAAAATAAATTATGGTTTATTTAAGATGATTTTCTTTTTTTAGCATTTGATAAAGATAAATCTTGTGTTATATCCATGTTTGATTATTTTTTAAATGATTTAATTATTTACAAAGTTATTGAAGTAAATTCCAAGATTTTAAAGATTGTATCAAGTGGAAAGTTTATTTTTATTTTGATTGAGTTAAAAGAGCTTGTAAATCAATTAATTTATTGTGAGATGACAGAAATGAATACTTAATAAAATAAAATTTAACTTCCTTCAATTTCAGATATATTTGCATCACCTATAAAATAAGAGTATATAATAATAAAATTGTAAAGATAATTGATTATCTACAGAATTTTAGATTAATATTTTGAAATATTAAGAATATTGGTCAAACCAATTTAAACTAATGTGATAATATTTTAAAAATATTTAGTGATATTAATGAAATCAAATGATGAGAAGGAGAAAATTTGCGATTATTATTTTTTTTTAAATGAATAAAAAATAGAAAAAATAGGAACAAATCCTCTTAATTAATTGTCAAAGATTGAAATATCAGATGTGATAGTATCTGTAGAATAAAATATATTTTATTTGAAATGTTAAGTAACACTTGAAACAATGAAAAGATATGTAATAGCAGCATTCAAAGTAGATTAAACAATTTATAAATCTTTGTTATTTATTAAACTAAGAAATATAAAAAGTTAATATTAATCATTTTCAAACACTTTAATATAATTAGAAGATCAAACTTTAATTCCATTAATATAAATAAAAGATTCTGTAATATGTGAAATACAAGAATAGAAAGAAATAATAGAAGATTTTGAACCTTTGGATAAGGTACAGAAAGCTGATGATGTGAATGATGAAAATGATAATAATAATGAATAAAATGAAATTGATAAGAATGAAGAGGATGAAATAGATGAAGATAGCCTTAATTTGGAAGAATCAAATTTTCCAATAGGATCATTTTTAATAATGAGTACAATTGAGGAGGCTTTGATATATTCACTTTATAAGACTTTTGGAAGAAAAAGAGTTGAAGCTATAGACAGAGTATGAATGATTGATTGATTTAACTTTATTGATAGATTTAAAGTGATTATTTGATTTTGAAATGTAAAATAATAATTCTTAATTAAATATATTATTATAGTAAAAGAAATGTCAAAGAAGTCTTTTATTTTTGAATATAGAGATGACATAAATGGTAGAGTACCAGTTGTATTTCAATGGAGTTTTGATTTTAATTTCTTGGTATGTGGAGGAGATAAATCAGTTATTTATGTTGTTGATAAGTAAATGTCATAATGAAATTAGACGAGGGAAGCGATTGAAAGATATTTAATTACCAACAAATAATAAATTATTGTAATTAGAATGGGATAAGGATGGTGAATATGTTTGCATAGTATAAGTATAAAAGAATAATAAATATAAAAAGGATGGTTTGAATCATGTTAATTTATGGGCACCATTTACAAATAATTCTTAATTGATACAAATAGAATTAGATAATGTTAAAGCAAAAGTATCATATGCAAAATGGTCTAAAAGTCATGGAATATTAGCTATAGGATCAGATAAGGGTGGTCTATTGTTCTATACAAAAAAATAGGCAAAAAAATTACCAACGATGGGAAAACATAGTAAAAAAATTATAAGTGGAGATTGGAACAATGAAGGATATTTAAGTAAGCATTTATGATGTATTTATATAGTAACAAGTGGAGAAGATAAATTTTTAACAGTTTCAAATTATAATTCTGAAACTATGTTTGAATCTATTCCTGTTAAAGCTGAAGCTAAAAATGTACTTTGGTCAAGATCTAAAACAGATTCAAGAGAATAAATATAAAGAACAGTCACTGCAATTATTTAATAAAAAACAATTATTATGTTTGAATTAGGTAAAAATCATAAAATGCCTGATGAATTAATGTTTGAAAATAAATATGGAAAAATTGTAGATTATACAATTTTTGGTGATGGATATTTAGTTATTGGATTTAGTGAAGGATATGTTGCACATATTTCTACACATAGAAAAGAAATTAGTAATTATAATTATTATTATATTTATTAGAAGATGAAGTACAAAGTGAAAGATTATTAAAATCAGTTGATGCTATGTGTACAAATGATAATCTTTATAAATTGGCAGTAGCTGGAGATGGTTAGATAAAAATGGTCAATCTATAAACATGGTAAGAGATAGTTCCTGAAAAAATTGATTTACCTAATGATTGTGGTCGTGTTTCCAAAATGTATTTATTATAATATTTTTTAGGGTTTGGAGTTAAAATGGATAAATATTAGTAGTTTCAACTGAGAAAGGCTTTTTATTTGGATTCTAAACATCAATACCAACATTAACAGCTGCATGTTCATCTATGATTGCATTGTAACAATCATTCACAGAAATCAGTATCTATTCTACTTAAGAATAATCATTAAATGAAATTACTAATGTTTCCTTAGAAAATGAACCTGTTTAAATTACTTTGAGTATGTAATACTTTGCTGCTGGACTTAATAATATGGTTTTTTATTATAAATATTTGGAATTAAAAAATAAAAAGGCATTCAAACCTGCTAATTTAGTTATGAAAATGGATTATTTAGGTTATGTCAATCAAATCCTATTGAATGATGATTCTGCTGCAATTCTAAGCAATAATGTATGTATTTTTCATAAAATTGAATAAACAGGAGATTATATTAAATAGTAATTTATTATATTAAAAATATAGATAATTTCCTGATAATGATTAGGAAAAACCTATTTTACATATAGGATTGACTAAAAATTTTTTATTTTTATTAGATTCTTAATCAAAAATAAGAGTTTACAATGTTTTTGAGAAATAATTTATTATTGAGTTTAAAAATGATTACAATTTAACTAAAATCTTTCCAAATATAAGTGGAACAAGATCAATTTGCATTAATAATAAAGGATAAGGTTTTTTATTTGAAGCATCTCTTGAATTATTAACAAAGATATCTGAGTTTCCAGAAAAAACAGAGAGAATAATTTGGGATTAGAAAGATCCAAATTTATTTGTAACATAGGAAGCAAATCAACTAACAACTTATATAGTGAATAAAAATAATTTATAATAAGAAATGGTACATCCAGTATTGGAGTACTTATCTATGGAAGATTTATAAAAGGCATCTCCTCCAAATCCATCAATAACAGAAATTGAAAAAGGAGTTTAGGCTTTGAGTTTAACAAATGGTACATTAAAATGTTTTACAATGTCAAGAAATGTTATGGGTTAACCATTAATAAGCCATTCTTATTTGAAATCATATAGAGGGTCAGATGATACTAATGAAGGACATTTTAGATATTTTTTATAGAATTTAGCTTTGTTTAAATTTGCAAATGCACATAAGGCAGCATTGAATTTAAAGAATTTAAAATTATTTGATACTTTTGGTAGAAAATGTTTAGAGAATTTAGAATTTGATGTAGCCTAAAAAGCTTTTTAAGCAGCAAACAATATATCAATGGTTATGATGATATAAAGTTTTAAAAATGAAACAGAAAAGAATTTATTATTTGCATATGTAGCAATGATTTTAGGGTAACATGATTTAGCATAAGATTTATTTTTAAAATCATCATATAGATTAGGTGCTTTAGAATTAAGAAGTGATATTTAAGATTATGTGAATGCATTATCTTTAGCAAAGAAAATAGCTCCAGAATAAGAGCCATTTATTTGTAAAAGATTAGCAATTCAAATAGAAACATAAGGTAATAATCCAGAAGCAGTAAAAATGTATGAAATGGCTATGCTTAATGAAAAACTTCATGATTCAAAAACAGTTGAAACACATAATTAATAATGTATAGCTGGTATTGCACGTTGTTCAATTAAAATGGGTGATATTTTAAGAGGGTCTAGTCTTTCAAGATAGATTTCAGATCCATTAATTTTATAAGAAATTGCATTGGTTTGTGAGAATATGAAATTTTAAGTTGAAGCTGCTGAATTATATGAATAGGCAGGTTGTATAGAGAAAGCAGCAACTATTTATATTACATAAAAGATGTTTAAATAGGCTGCTCCTTTAATGAATAAAGTGAAATCTCCAAAATTATTAATTTTATATGCAAAAGCGAAAGAGAGTGAAGGAGCATTTTAAGAAGCTGAAAATGTATATGAAAAAGCAGAAGATTGGGAAAATGTAGTACGTTTAAATTTAAATTAATTGAATAATATAGAAAGAGCTAAATTTATATTACGTAATAAATGTAAGACAGTTACTCTTGCATCAATGGTAGCTTAATATTGTGAAAGAAGAGGATCTAAAGCAGAAGCTGTAGAATTCTTAATTTTAGCAGAAAAGAAAGAATAAGCATTTGCATTGGCTTAAAATTATAATGAAATGGATTCTTATGTAGAACATATGAAAGCATTTTCATTAGAAGAAAGATTATAAGTAGCATAGTATTTTGAAGGAAAGAATTAATTAGATAAAGCAGCATTTCATTATGAAAAAGCTTAAGATCCAATGAAAGCTTTGAGATTATATTAATAAGCAGGAGAAGAATTTATAAATGATATGATAGATTTAGTAGCTCGTAATAAGTAGGATTCACTTATTTAACATTTATCAGATTATATTAATGGTGATACTGATGATATTCCTAAAGATCCTATCTTTTCATTAAAATTACAGAAAGCTATCGGTAATCTATAAGCAGTTGGAAGGATTGCTATTACTATTGCAGCATCTGAATAGGAATGTGGTAAATATAAGGAGGCTCATCAATTTTTATTTGAGACTTGTGATGATTTAAAATCGAGTGGAAATTAAATACCATTTGATTTATATTAAAAGTTAATGACTTTACATTCATATACATTAGTTAAAAAGATAATGAAATTAGATGAACATGAAGATTTAGCAAAATTATTAGATAGAGTGTGTAAAAGTATTAGTTAATTTCCTAATGGTGCAACAAATATCTTAACTATGGCTGTAATTGAAGCTACTAAAGCTAATTTTAAGTAATATAAAATTATTATATTAATTTTAGATCATTAGCATATTAATGGGCAATAACTTTAATGAAACAAGAATATAGATCATTGATAAATGAAAAATTTAAAACTAAAATAGAAAATATAGCAAGAAAACCTATAAAAGAAGAAATTCCAGATAAGAAAACACCCTGTCCATTTTGTGGAGTATATTAATAAATTAAATCAATAGGAATTTGTTTCAGAATTCAGTCTTGATTGTCCAAAATGTTCAAACAATATTCCATTCTGCATAGCATCAGCAAAGTAATTAAATTATAATTAATTATAGACATATAGTAGCTGAGTAATGCTGTTTCTGTCCTGAATGTAAGTTTCCTGCTAATATTTAATATTTTAAGAGAATCTTGGAAATTGAACCAATTTGTCCACTTTGCCAAAAATAAATACGTTCATAAGATTTAAAAGAAGTTAGAATATCTATTTATGTTAATCTTAGGTGTCTAAGGAAGAAGTACTCAAATTAAAGAGAAAGGCTGTAGTCGATGAAAAAAAATAATGAAGAATATTATTATATAAAATTATTGAATTAATGTCTGATAGTAAAACTACTCCTAGAAATCATGGAAGATCTAAGACTAAAACAAGTATCATAAATCTTTTTAAATTATAGGTGAGAATTTGTAAATACATTACAAAAAACCATCTAATGCTAATGATAGATTAGTCGTTAATAAATTAGGTATGAAATTTGATCCTGTTTGTTGGAAAAAGAATCATGAAAAAGGTAGAATACAATTTGTTTGTATTGTAAATCTATATATCATTATTAAAAAGGAATCTAATTGTAATGCTGATAGAAGACTAGCTTGTGCTCATTGTATTATTGAAGAACATGATTAACATATTTCTAATAAGGTTACTGTTGAATAATATTGTGATGCTTTTGAAAGTAATTTCAAATGCTATCTATTTTAAGTAACCTTTTGAAATTCTAAATAGGTAGCTAAATTAGAGGAATATTACAATAAATGTAAATTGATAGATTTAATTGATCTAATTGATAAAGATATTAATACAATTCTTGATGTTGTTAAACAATAATTAAGAGCATTAAGAGATTTTTATGTTTAAGAAATTTAAACTAATGCAGAATAAAATAATTCCTCTTTAATCTCATTTTATAATTCAGAAAGATAAACTCTTTCCAAAATTAAAGAATATGCATAAAAAAATCTATTTGAAATGACTCCTGCTGAAATGGATCATAGTATGTTATTAATGGGTACAACACATTTAGATAAATTTAATAATAAATTCTCTGAATTTGATGACCAGACCTCATCATTATAAAATACTATGAAATCTTAATGGAAATTAATATATCAATAATTAGAGGAATCAATTATAGATATCATTACTTAAATTGGTTAAAATAATTTTAATTTTGTATAACCAATAATTTAAGAGTTTCCTTAAGAATAAATTTCAACTAAAAATTTAAACGCTAATTCATAATCAATCTAAATTATAAATTAATCATAATAACAATAGTAATAATCATAATAGTAATAATAATAATAGTAATAATAATAGTAATAATAATAGTAATAATAATAATAATAATAATAATAATAATAATAATAATAACAATAATAGTAAAATAATTAATAACCTAATTTAGATTTTTAAAGACTCAGCTTATAAAATTGTAAAAATACAACTAAATAGATTAATTAATAATAATAATATAATTCACTGTAAGCTTATCTCTATTAATAATTGCCTCCCTAACCTTCCTAAAATTCTTAACACTCTTAATCAATAAAAAAAGAAGTTAGTAAACATAGTGGAAACACTGTATTGTAATAATCAAGCAAATAACTATCGCAATCCAGTAATTAACATTAATCAAGCAATTAATTATAATCTAATAGTCCAAAAGCTTCATCTGAAAATTAAGGTTTTAAATAAATTTAAGGAATATGTTAATAAGTGACATCTCCTTTAAAAAGTGGATTAAACACAGCATCCTTTGGTAATTTAGGTAGCAGTAATTAGAAATCTTTGAAAAATATCACTCAAGCTAATAATAATTAAGTGAATGTTTAAGCATCTAAAGAAACATAAAATAATTCAAATACTAAAGGGAACTCTCATATTAGATAAACAAGTCCAAATGGAGTTAATTATTATTATTAGAGTGATGGAAAATAATTAGAAAACAGAAAGAATGCAAATCAAATATAATCACTTAATTCTTCATAATAAAAATAATAATAATCTTTTGATAGAAGATTATCTGCTTAAAAAATATAAAATACCCAATTTACTTGTAATTAGAATAATATGAAATGTATCCATAACGATCTTATTAAAGCTTCACCTGTATTTAGTTGTTGTAATTAGGTATTATTTAAATTAATATAATTTGTAGGCATTTCCATGTTATGAATGTCATGATATGATATCTACACATAAAGCACATATAACAGTACCTTCTTAGAGATTTTGTTAGAATTGTCATGAAACATTCTCTGTAAATTTAATGTCTACAGTAGATGTAAAATGTTATAAATGTTAATGAACAATTTTATTAATAATTATGTAAACATACTTAAGATTTTTCCGATTTACAACTCATCAATTTGACCCTTATTTAGTATTGGGTTTAAATAAAAATGCCACAATGAGCCAAATAAAAAGTGCTTATATAGATTTATGTAAAAAATGTAAGCATCAAACAATAACCCGATAGATCATCCAGACTTAAATGATGAGGAAGGTGCCAGAGAGAAATTTACTTAGATTCATGAAGCTTATAAAATATTGAAATAGCGTAAGTTTTATGAGCAAATAGATGAAGAGTTTAAGAAGAATTATTAGTAAATTGTATTAGCAATTGAAATAGTTCAGCTTAATCAGAGGAAGAATGTTTTAAAGTGATATTTGGATTTTACTTTTATGAAAATCCTCAGGAATATTATAAACCTGAGAATGCTTAAAAAAGGGCAGATTATTAAGAAATGTTGCGTAAATTCAAAAATAAACAATAAAATACTTATGAAAAGGGAAAGAATGAGTTTTCAGATGTAAAGATAAATAGGACTTTTAATTCAGATTCAATATATAGTACTTGATAAGATTAGTAATATAGGATTTAGTGATCATACTCTATTGAAAGTGTTGTTAATGTTTACCTTAGTAGTTTCAGTAACAAGTGCTTATGTATTTTTTTATAAGAAATAAACAACTTATGCAAAGAATACAATAACAGATTCTTAAATAATGAGAATGAGAGCTTAAGCATAATTAAGAGAGTAGAGATAGGGAAGAATGAAAGAGGAATGAGAGAATGTAAATTTGAGATATATATATAAATCAAGTTCTTTTAAAATTATGAATTAAATTATCTATCTTTCTCCACATATCATTTAAACTTGTAGTAATTTCTTTTCTGAATAATTCAGTAGCTTATTATTCTCCAATACCTAATTAAAGTTTTTCTCTTAAGTATTCAATGTCAGCAATTTCTTACAATTCTGGCATACCAGCTGATAAATTCATAAGGAAGATATTAATAAGCAAATGACCATGTTATCTTATTTGATTATATGCTTTGGTGCAGAAATCTTCAAATCGTTTAAAATTCTATCCTTATACTCCTCCCATAACATAAGCCATTTCTTACGTAAAAACAAAAGGAGTTCTTTCTCGATTGATTCCATATTTAGTTTTAAAATTACCTAAAATTAATAAACAGATTTTATACCTAGGAAATGTCCAAAGTCAATATGAAATAGATGACCACTTTCAGTTAACATAATATTTCCACTATGTCTATCTCCAATCCCAAGTAAATAAGTAGCTACACAATATCCAGCACAAGATCTTAAGAAATTCTCTACTGCATTTACCATACTATGTTTATTATGTTTTTTTAGATATTCCATTATAGAGCTTTTATTTAATGCTCCAAATTTACCAGCATTTTCATGAATGCTAGAAGTAGTATCTGAATTAAGAACAACTTCTATCATTCCTACTTAATCAAATGTAGAAATAACTTTATACGGTTTCATTCTAAAATCAAGACCAAAATCTAACCAAATCTTGTCCATAATTTTTATTAATTATAATGTAAGTAAATCTTATCTAATATCATCTCCACATTTAAAAATTATAAGAAATTTTTCATTAATAGTTGTTTTTCTATTTTCTTTTTATTTTCTTAAGTTTTCAAGACAATCAGTATCTTTTAAAGTTTTAGAAGATATCATAATAACCTTTTTAGGAATTTAAGTAACATCTCTAGTTTCAGCAGATTTCATAACTAACCATAAAGGGAGCTATATATATAAATAGAAAGAATACTTTTTTACTATCAAGAATTTTACATTTATCATAAATCATTTCAGATGCACTCATTCTTGGATCTATTGCAAATTAAAAAGTTTTAGAGAATTATTATCTAACATTTTAGAGTTTAAGTTTCATATCATAAAGTCTTTTATTAGAATCTTTTTCATTTTTAATTTATTCAGCAATTTTCATAATTTCATCATTAACTTAAACTTCTCCAAATAATTCATATCTATAATTTCCAAAAAGCATCATTAGTTATTCTAATATTAAACTATATCTTTCATAAGTAGGTTAGATATGTAATTATGATCTTAATTACCAAAAGAGTTCATGACCAACTACCCAAGGATTCATGATAGATCTTTCTATAAGCATTTCTCCTAAAGGTGAAAAATGACATTATTCAAAAATGAGTGCTTAAGTTAATTCTAACATGAATAAAACTAATTCATCATCTTTATATAAACCTACTCTTTTTGTTGCATAATATCTAACAAGTTCATCTGAAAAATTGGCATCAAGTAGAGGTAATGCATCATCAGATGGTAAACTAGTCCATACATTCATCATTTAATAAACTTCTCTAATTTCTTCAGGATCACTCCAATTAATAGCACATAAAAATATTGGAAATGCAGATGGCTGATTCTTATAATAATTTCTACATTTTAATAAAATAAATTTATCATCATCTGTATATAAATGTCTTTAAAGAGGATCAAATTTTAATAAAGTATCCAATTTAGCTAATTCATTAGTATTAGGAGTTGCTTTCCAATCTCTTTGTGGTCTCACTGTAATTCCAGTATTTAGAGTTCCTCTTCTTTCTAATACTCCATTATTATATTATAAACAAATCTATTAAAGGTTTAATGGAGTAGATGGAAATCCTACTTATTTCATATATTTTTCATCTCTTAAACTCCAATACACATCTTCTATAAATTTTGGCATCCCTATTACTAATTATGTATAATATGGTATTCCTTATTCATTAGGTAAGGCTGCTCCATAATATTCATTCATACAGGCTATTCTTGTATCACATTTATAAAATGGCCATATATTTAAATTTATTCTTCCTTATTTCATTCTTCCATTCTCATCAAATAATTCACTTATTGTACTTCCAATTATTTATTCTTCACCATTTGATGAATGTAAAATCACATTAAAACATAATCTTAATTCCATTGGTAATTAAGAAATTTTCAATCCTTAAAATGATATATCTTGTTAAAACCAAATATTCTTTCTAAATGCTACCTTTTGACTGTTCATTATACTAAATTTCGTTAAAGGTGTTTATCCATACATCAACATCACTTATATTGATATTAAATATGGTTGTATATCTAATTCATATTTCTACATTAAATATTCCATATTTGCTGTTCCTTGAGGACCATGATTAAAAAAATGAGGATTGAATATACCTTTCTAAAGTTATTTTAATTACCATGTATCTTAATCTTTTGTCTTACTTAATTTTAAAAAACTTATCTTCTTTTGCAATTTCTCCTCATCTTCCACTTTTGCCTTCTTCTTAGAAGTATTATGCAACTCCTCTTATTTCGCTGACGATTTTGTAATAAATCTCGGTGGACATAATCCATTATATGTAGCTCTCCTTTTATGTCCATTTTCTTTCTTAAACTCTTCAAGATCTTTATCATCCAATATAAATAATCTATGTACATTTGATAAACATAATATCTATATCTTAAATCTGTAATCACATTCTCCTGAATATATTATACTCTTTTTTAAATGAAAATATGGTTCTTCCAACATTTTGTATCTCATATCAATAAATTCCAAACATTTCTCCTTTAAAAATAATCGAGGTTATAATGGACAAAAACGAGATCCATTTTTATTTATCTTTTCATTTTATTTCCCCTTTGTTTATCCAATCTAATCTAAAAATTAAAAACTTTGTTAAACATTCACATAAGGAGGTAAAGGATATGGAGCATAAAATAGAAAACAAGGAATATCAATGAATTAATCCCATGGTACACTTTCATCTCCATTTCTTTCAAATATTGGAGGAAAATTATCATACATTCTTCTCACTCTTGGAACTTCAGTTAAATTTACTTGTAAATACTAAATACCTCTAAGACTCATTCTAACTCTATCATAACTTAATATTGAATAATTGCCAGCTAAGTATTCCCTAAAACCAGAAATCTATAAAACAAATTAATTTTCGAGGGATTTAGTTTTGAGTCGTACTTAAAAGTTATTGTAAACTGCTCTAAGTATCTTCTTAATGACTTCATCAGAACAAGTGACTAAATCTACATCTAATTCTATAGTTACAGGATTAATGTCATTATAAGATTAGTCTTCGATTCTGAGATAATCACTTAAATCAACAATTAATTTGAGTGAAGTAACTTCAGAGAATGCATCAGACATGGAAGATTCTGCTAAATAAGTTGGCTCTTGATTGACAATTTTATGTAATAAATATTCTGAGATTTCTCTCCTTCGATATCTTTAATTCCTCTATGTATCCATATTCCATGAAGAATCAGGTAATTAAACTAATCTCTAAATATCTTTGATATCTTTCTCAGCCTTAGAACGATATGCAGATGGAACATTGTATTCAATAAAGATTTCATGACTCTTAAGATTTATAGTGAAGATTTGATGAGAATCCATATCAACACACAATAAATATTTTACTCTTTCATCAATCTAGGCCTTTGTAAAGATTCTTTGACTAGTTTACAATTATTTATCCATTTTTAATAATATAAAGAATGACCCATGGTATGTAATATTGCTTAATTTGATTAGTGCTTTATTTTGGTAAAACTCTAGCTAACTTACAAACTGAAAGTCTAAAGAATCATTAACAATTGTATAAATTCCTAACTTAAAATTAGATTAACAAGAGTATGCTTCCCAGAAAATGTATTCTCTAGTGACCCTAAAAAATAAAATAAAGGAGGTGAGCAATAACTTACCTTTATCAAAGTCATATGTTGTCAAAATATCATATTCCTATTCGATAGTATTTCATCATTCTTCAATTTCATTAGACAAATCTGAATTATGGGCATTTGGAGCATCATAAGAAGGTCAACTAGGTATACGAATGAGTAGTTTGATGTATCCAGTCAATATATCATAAGTGATAGATAATAAAATACGATTAGTTACTGCATCAGAAAATTTTGTATCTGTACATACAATTAAAAATCATTTGTACATTTGGGGAAAAGTTGAAGAACTAAATTTAGGAGATAATATTAAACCTAGAAAGATTGAATTTAGTAAGTCTTTAGATAGAAGGTATGAATTTAATTGTTTGGATATCACGTATTTACTTGACTAAGAATGTACTTAAAATGCCAATGAAGAAATATTATAATTGTAATCAACAAATAACACCTTATATATTTTGAATAAAGATCATTTAGATGTTATTTCTATCTAGGCTCATATAATAGCTTAGAAATTTGTTGGTTTAGCTTGTAATGAAAATCATGTATTAGCATGGGATGTAGATGGAAGAGTATGGAGTTGGGGTCAGTATTCTGATGGCAAATTAGGTTATATGAGTTTTGATTAAACTCAATAGAACTACCCTAAATAGATTGACACTCTTGAAAATAGAATAATTTAATGTGCTTGTGGTCTTAATTATAGTTTGGCTTTGGATGTAAAAGGAGATATCTATGGATGGGGAAAAGGTCCTTTCAAAATGGAATTATTGAAAGCTACAATCCCAAGTAAATTAATATAAAAGAATAAATCATTTGTTAAAATAGTTGCAGGAAATGAACATTTTGGTGCTTTAGATATGCTTGGTTAATTTTATGTTTGGGGTTTGAATCATAAACATTGTTTAGGAGAATTAGAAGAAGAGATACTCACACCAACATTATTTGAATTGCCTGGAATAAAAATAATTGATGTTGCTATGGGTCCATTTTGTACAATTATGATTATTCCTGCTGATCGTTTATAGAAATTACCTAATCTTAATCTAGATACATTTACTATTCAATAAAAAAAATGTTTTCTTGAAGAGGCTAACCTAATTAGAGACTTCACTGAAAGAAGGAATAGATAAACTTTATCATCAATACTCTCTCCAATTCAAACCAAAAATAATATTCAAGATGATAGAGAATTTGATAAAGCAAATTAATTGATACACCAAATGCAATTACACTTAGACTCTCCACATCATAAACATGCATTCAATACTACTCATAGTTCTCATACTTTAATTAATAGTTATAGTTCACCTTATAAATCATTTAAATCTCCTATTTCATTCGATAATATTCAAAAAAAACTAATTAAACTTGAAAACACTAATCCTCTATATTTACCAATTTTACCTAATCTATAATATAATAAAGCATCAATTGATGAAGATGTTAATCTCGAAAATCTAATAAGAACTGATGATGATGAATTGAAATACAGATATATATAATTAGTTAAGGAAAATAGCGAAGATTAAATATTAATGTAATTATTAAATGATCAATCTATTTAAAAACCTTAAAATCAAAAAAACATTAAGCAACAATCCATTAAAATTAAATAACGTACTGAACTTAAAGAAATTAAATATAATGATAAATTTGATAGGCTTGATCCTCATCTACTTTAAAATGTTAGAAAAGAACTAGCTGATATTAGTAAAGATAGATGGAAATAATATTAGAAGAAAAAAAAAATTAAAGAAAATAAAATTAATTTTCTTAAAACTAAATTTTAAGTAACTAAGCTTGAATAAATTTCTAAAGAAGAATAAATTGAATCGAATCGATTATAAGCAGTTGAAAAAAATATCAAAGCTTAGTACACTGTTTTGAGGAAAGAAGAAAAATTGAAAAATAAATTAGAAGTTATATAAAATGAAACTCATGATAATTAACAAGAATTTTAAATTAAAAAAAGAGTTGAAATTAAAAGAGAAATTGCAAGGTAGTATGCATTAAATATTTTATTAAAATATTTAAATTTCGAAAGTTTTTGCTAAATGTTTGAAGAAGCATCTGAAAGAGGATTATCGAAAAAAAAATTATTATTATAAGCTAATAACAAAGCGAAAATTATTTAAAAAGCAATTCGAAAAAGAAATATAATTAAAGTAATAAATAATAAATTAGGATTTAAATCAAGAAAAATATTATTATCTTTTATTTTTAGAATTAGAATGTCTATTCGAATTAAAAAGAAGAGAGTAATAATTAGAAAAATTAACCTTTACAATTTAAGAGAATCAATTTTTCTAAAAGTTCGAACCAATCTAAATACAATGATCAAAGCAACAAAGAATATACAATAATTTTGTAAATATTATAATTAGATGATGAAAATCTAATTAAGTTTTTTAAATTATAAATGGGATGAATATATGAGATAAGAGTTTAAAGGGTTAGTTATTGACAAAGATAAAGAAGAATAAAAACTGAATTAACTTTAAGCTCTAAATGAAAAATAAGTATAAATAATGAAATAATTATCATATCCTATAAAATCTCAAAAAACTATCTATAAAGAGATACAATTATCCAAAAAGCCGAGGTTAAAAATTGAAATGTTAAGGTTAAATCTACTTAAGAAAATACCATAGAAAAGTATGAATGAAGATGAACAAAAAGAAAAGGAAATAAAGCAAAATTATAATAATGTTCTATTTCCTTACACAAAATATGTTGAGAATATTGTCATTCCACAAAATTATAGGATAAGATTTGATTATTAGGAAATTTAATTATTAAATGTCTTAGACAAAATTAATTTAGAGGAGGCAAAATTAAAATTAGAAATATTACAAGGTTATTAGAGAAGTTAGATTAAGAATCATATTCAATAGTGTATGAATGTAATATTAAATATATTGTTAATTAGTATTTTTCAGCACTCCTTGATTTTAAATAAAAAAACAAAGTGCTTATTGGAACTGAGAGAATGAAAATAATGTCAAAATTATCATCTGATGAAATTAAACAACTAAAATAAAAGGAGGAATAAGAGTTTAGAATGATGATAGAAAGAAGAGAGATCAATACAAAAAGGGGTATTTATTAATGTAAATTAGTTCGAATAAATGATTCGATGACAAAGGAAAATATTTTCGATAAACTTAAAGTATTTTAATCAGATAATTATCCATTTCATATGCTCACTTATAAATTGATAGTTTATTTAAGTTAGATTGAATAACCAAAATTATAAATGGAAATGACCCATAAGGAATGGATACGTTTAATGAAAAATTATCATACAGATTTTAAAATCAGATTATAGTCAATAATGAGTGAAGCAAGAAGAGCTGCTGCTTATAAAGCAAAATAGATAAAGCGATCTCCAACAATATAAATTAAAAGATCACCTACAATAGCATCGAAATCAATATAATCCAAAAAATTGATAGATTTAATATGATAATTTTATTAATATATAACTCAATTTAAAAAAAACATATCACATGTTTTAATCTTCTCAATCTTCTATTCTTAATCCTTTTAATTTTTATAAAATAAAAAAAACTAACAAACATAAAAAAATTATTGAACAAAAACAATAATTATAATCTGCATCTGGCTTATTTTAATTTATTCAGAAACAAATTTGAAATAATTTAAATATAATTAAGTCATACTTTAATTAATTAGTTTGGCAATCTCATCAAAATTAATAGTAAAATCCTATACTACAATGATTTTCAAATCTATTTTGTGCTTATTTATGTTTGGTATTTGAAAATTAATTAGAATTAACTTAAATGATAAATTACAGATTAAAAATATATAAAAAAGAATTATTACTACAATTAAGGTTATAAATTTATTAATAATTGGGTCTTTACAAGTCTTGTTAAAATAATATTCGAAGTCATTAAAAATAGTTTTTTGATTTCAAAAATGACTAAAAAAACTGAGAACAATATAATCAGAATTACTTAACTTAAGTAAAAATGTATTTTCTTCAGTCTACTCTTATGCATCTATATTTATCATTACAGAATCTTCATTACAGTAAGTAGAAAATTTAGAAATACTATCAATAATTATGTTAAACCTTTTATTTCGTTAATAAATAAATTTATTAGTGGATATATTTTATGTATTTTAAATAAAAATTTTCTATATTTATACTTATGTTTCATACTAATTAATCTCCTTCTTCTTCTTTTGGACTCTGTGTTTTATAATATCCATAACCCATTAATATTAAACATACAAAGCTTCCAAGTACAATTAATACTATCCAAACTGCTCCTAATCCCTTACTTTCATCATCATCATCATTATTTGGTATAATTTGTAATTAAAATTTTTATTGAATTGTAGAGAAGTCATTTGAAAAAGTCAAAGTTAAATTTTAGCTTTCTTATTTCTGAGGATCTTGGATTATAATTAAATTATTAGAATTTAATGAATATTTTTCTAGTCCTTTATTATTTGGATTACTACCGAATAAATAATTTGACTTTAAATAAAATTTAAATAAATACTTATAATAACATTAAAAAGTTTTATGAACTTAAATCTTGTATATTTGTAACTTCAAATTGATAGCCTCCAGATATCAAAACAAAAGAACTTTCTTTTGTATATTAATAAACTCCTACTGTTACTTTATTTTCATTGTGATAAGCAACTGCAATGGATGATTTATCAACTGTTAAATAATTTAAGACCTTCCAATCTCCATATTTAACAAATGCTCTTATTAATTCAGATTACTGATTTTCAAACTTCTTTCCTTCCTTATTATATTTAAACTTTAACATAATCTAGAATGAACCTGAATCTGAAGTTAAAATGACTAATTCTACTGTTAAGTTATCATTCTCAAATTTTGAAGAGATTACTTAAGTTGATAAGAATAGGGTTTGATCTATAATGTAATTATTTAATAATTTCTTTAATGAAATAGAACTTATTCCAGATGGTTAAATATCCCCTTATTAGAATACAAAATTATTAAACATCAATTCATCTAAACAATTTGTTACCATCAATAAATATATATAAAGATCTTTATCTATTTAAGTGCCAACTCCTGTCATACTTGATGGTCTATATTTAGTTGCTTTAGAATTTATATTTTATTATATGAATTCTAAATTAATTGTCATAACTTCTTTTTGAATATAGAAATCACCTTCATAGATCATTTTATAAACCTTATACTCTCCATCCTATTCTTTTGGGTCTGATGGATTATAAAATAATACAAAGACGTAATTTTCATAAGGTGCTATAACTTGATTTCCATTAGGTATTGGTATATAGGATTGAATTAACTTACAATTTTAATTTTCACAATCTGATAACACTAATTCATTCTCATTTCCATTATTACATATTGAATAAAACCTATTTTAGTAATTGTCTAATCTAAAACAATTGTATTGATCTGGAAGTGTATAATCAGCTTAAATAAATGCAAGATTATCCCCTTCATTAACTCCTAATAATAAAGTATTCTTAGCTTATAAATAAATTAGGAATGATGATGAATCATTTTAATCTTTTGAGTATCCATAATTTATTTAAGAATTAGTTATATTCTAGTTTTTGATAAGCTAAACTCTTGACTTTAAACTAATCTAACCTTATGTGTCATAAAAGGTTTTTAGAGATGTTTAAATTGTTTAACCTATGACTGCTTCTGCTATTTCAATTTCCACTGTCTATGTTGAGTTTGTCTAAATACTATAGTTAACATTGTTAAGACTTAATTAGGAGTATGAGTTTTAAAACTTTAATGTTTAAATGAATTTAGCTTGATTCTTATCATCATCCTTATTTTTTACATTTAATGTAACCTTTATATTTTTCAAGTAAGTCTTTGCATCAAATTTAGGATCGAAAACTAAAAGTGGAGATTGTTCAACTTTAAGAATTGATGATTATAAAGCATTGTTTAAACTAATAAACATTGAATCATCATTTGCTACTGATAATGCTGAATTAACAGTATCTAATTCATAAGTTAAATAAAATGTATCATGTTATGCTTAGGAAGGTTTAAAAATATTTAAATAATTTTTTTCTCCTTTTTTTGTTTTTATTATTAAATTACCAGTTGATAATTATGATGTAACAAGTAAAGGATTAACTATTTAATATCCAAATAATTCAACAGTCTTAGATTTATAAACATTTAATAAGTTTTCATAATTATATTCAAATATCTCTTTATTGTTAACTAAAAAGAATGTATTCTAAGCAGCTGAAATATATATTTCATTATTCATATTATAATCTATAGATTATATTAAATTGAACTTATTATCAACCTAATTCAAGATTAAAATATTTTTTTCATTTTAAACAAATAAAATGTTTGATTTTAATATTCTATTTCCAAACAATTTCAAAGGTTTCCATTCAAAATTAAATTTCTTTAATTAAGTTTCACTTAAACAATTCTGCATTTTCAAATCTTAAATGTTTAAACTAATTAACAGTCCATTCTTTATTAATATTAATAAATCTGTGCCCTAATTTAAAATGCTAATTATTTCTTAATCATCATCTTCTTAAGGGAATTAAAGTGTTTGTATTAGTTCTATTTTCCAAACCTAAAATATACGATATATATCAAGTTAATGTTTATTTATTAGGGTTGCAAAATAAACAAAATCACTATCTTACTTATTCCACATAGTAAATGTTTAATCATTTAATTCAACAGAAACATTTATGCTCTTTCCGATTTCAGAAAACTTAAATGATTTAGTATCTGGATCATCATTGATTAATGCTGAGAAAATTAATAGAGATTTATCCTTCTATTAAACTATTTTGTAAATTAATTTGGTTGTAACAATTGAAGATTAAAATAATTATGTAATAGGCAAGCCTTAAGTACCATAAATAGTACCCTATATAACTTTAACTTAATCATCTTTGAATGAATTTACAATTAATGGATTACCTTCTGGGACTTCCCATATAACCTCATATTATTAATTTGGACCTGAAGTTAATCCTCCTAAATCAATAGAAGTTGTTTCATCTACTGCATTTGGAAAAGGAGATTCAGAGTCAGTTTTCTTATAAATACTTTGATCATCACTTTTTATTAGAGAATATTTAATATTTGATTAACATTACTAATTATTTATGGATAAAGCCTGTATTTTAATTTCTCCTTCTTTAATTTATCCAGATTTAAATTCATATTTTAAAGCTCCTTGACTATAATGATATAAATTAGATTCTTTCTATCCAACAGTTATATATTATTTTTCTTTATCAACTAAATATCCCCCTTAAATAACACTTTAATCTAACAATGTTATGGATTGATCACTAAATCCATAAATAAAAAGAGTATTATCATTTTTGATAAAGACATTTTTTTATCTTAATTCTATATGCTAAGGATATGTTGCAGTGAAATATTCTAAATCTCTAACTTTAACAATCACCTTATTTTCCAACACCAAAAAGTAATTATAACTTAATAAAACAGTATGTTAAACTACCTAACCTTATTCGTTGGTATAATCATCAATATCAAAAGCTATAAACTATTAAAGATTTAAATGTAATTAATCCAAAAGTTTCCAACTTTATGATTTAAAATCAAATTATAGTTTTATAAGTCCTAATTTCTGATCTAATAAAAATAAAATTCCATCATTTTAAACTTTATAATCAACCAACATAAAATCTGTCTTTTCTTTCTTTAACAATCCAGCCAATACAGTATTATCAATAGTCGATTATAAGGTAATGTCATTACTGTTGAAATAGAATAGTTCTACTAATGAAACTTTACCAACTTAATCTTCTTAGGAATTTGAAAAAGCAGGAGTGAGTCTTACAAAATAGGATAAACCTTAATTATTATAAAATTTATTAAACCACCTTAATTTATTTATTGTAAATTAAGATTCTATTTTAGAAATAGCTTTCAATTATTTTTCCTTGATTTAATAAATGATTTTTTAAGATTGATATTGACAATCAATTAAGAAACTATCAGATGATTCTGGATCCATACTTAAATAATCAAAATCGAAACATTATATTGAAGGTATTTCTGGATCTATATGAACCATATCAGTGAAATGAGGAGCTTCATTTTTTTATGCTTGAGTTTTTGTATAATATAAACCATTAGAAATAGCACTCTTATCTAGGAATGCAAAATGACCATTCCAGGAGTTTTGAGATTTAATTGATTAGACAGTTCCAATAGCTAAATATATATATTTAAATATTTACCTGTTGTCATATGTTAGCTTGAACTAACTTTATTAATAGGTTAAACAATTGTAAAATCTTAATTATTGTCTAGACTATATTACAAACCAACTCCTTCAAAAATTCCATTTGATAATTACCATTATAAGATTTCAGAAGTTGAAGGATAAATCTTAATATTGGTTATCTTAGTTGTACATTCATTTTAATCTATAGGTTTAATCTATAATTCGAATTATGTTTTTTCAATATTGAAATCATTTTATAAAATCACTACAACATTTTAACTCTTCAAATCTCCATTTTTATTATTGAAAAGAATGATTGGTGAATTTTATAATGTATAACTATTCAATGGACCTGTTAATTCACTTGCATAGAGCTATTCTTATTATTGAAGATCAAAGAATAAAGCCATATTCAATGTTGATAAAAATTATCCTTAATAATATTATAAATAAGTTCCACTCACAATTGTCATTGGACTAACAGATGATTTTTAATAGAGACCAATTAATAATGAATTATCATTAAAATAAGGAATTGCAATGTAATTGGAATTGACAGCAATTTTATTAATGGATGGCCAATTTGAATATCTATTTAATACAAAATCTAATTGCTTTGATTCAATTTTTGTTGATTAAGAATCAATTGACTTTTTAAATTAAAATGAAATTCCATAATGAGCCGCATTATTTGTTTAAACTAAAAGTTAGAATTAAATTGATTATTCTGTCGGATTATATTTTGGTTATTCAATTAATCTAATTTATTAGAAGTGGGTATTTTCAAATGCATATTAATCAACTTCATAATTCAAATATTAGTATAAATCTAATGATTCAACAGATTCAAATTGATATCTGAAATTATTTAATGTAAAATCGTAGAATACAAGTCCATTTTTCGAATTACTTATTATTAATTTATAGAGAGTTTATTAAGTCTCAGTTTTGAATTATTTAATGATAGTGAAATCACTTGGTCTAAAGTATTCTAAAGGTTAATGCAATTGAGAATTTAAAGTTTAAGTGGCTATAACATCTAAGACTTCTAGATTCCAAGTATATAATCCTTTTTTTATTTGATAAATAGCAATACGACCATCAACATCACTGTATTCTAAATTATTAGTATGTAGAACAACCATAATATCATTATCAATCAATTGAATTTTAGATGTTTATTCTAATCTGAATTTTTCACCTAATGGAGAACATCCAGTAACTGAAATACATCCAGTAACATAAATAGAATATTATCCTTTGTCTTCACAAAGTGCATAGATAAGTAATTTATCAGCAGAAACTTATGCTTGATAACATCTATAAGTAGCAGTTGGCAAATCAAAATGATAAATGGCTTTTAAAGAATTATCAGGATTTGTGAATATCAATCCCTTAGTGGCAACAAAGATATTAGTGGAATCATCATATTTTATTAAGTCTCTAATTTCAAATCCATTGAAAACTTTTTAATTATTCATTTCTACAACATTTTATACTGAAATATGATTTTCACATTATTCGCATTCTAAATCAATTCCTACTACTTAACCAGTAAACCATCTTGTACCTAAATCAACTTTCTTAGAACGAACATTTGAATTAATTATAACACCATTCTTAGATAATGGAAAAATGGAATTATCAATTTAAATTAACGATTAAGTGTTAATAATTTAAACTTATTTTTTTATTTCTACTGTATTAGAAGGTTCATCTGGGAATTTATAATTAGATACAGATAAAGTAAGATTCATTTTAGTATTATAATCTTCTGATTCTAAATTGACTTTAAGTGTCATAACAGAATTTTTCAATTCTGAAATTAAAGTTGTTTGACCTTTCACAAAAACATACAAGAACATTTATTAATCTCCATCAACAGCCATAATAACTTTATCATTATCAGCAATAATTTAGTCTGATATACTCCAAGCATCATATAAACTATCATGTTGTAAAGTATCTGGATTGAATACTAAAATATGTGCTTTTTAGGAATGTTTACAATAGGCTCTAATAAAAAGTTTTCCATTTTCTTCACTTTGATCAACTGTCAAAGGAGATGTTATTTAATACCAATATAATTAAACTGTCTTTATTTTAAATATGTTATTTAATCTTGAGAAATCATATTCCTCTATTTTACCATCATTTGCTCCTTAAGTCGATTAACCATAAACTATAAAGAAAGTATTTTCTCCTATTGCAAATTCCACTTCAAGACCATTTTAAAAAGCATATTGTTATAAAAAAGTAAATTTATTATGAAAATCAACAAGAACAATATTTTCTTAATTAACTATAAATAAAAGATTAGGATGAAGTTTTCTATTTCCAAATAATCTTTATGGTTTCCAATTTAAAGTATAGCCGTAAGGTTTAAAAGTTTCCGAATCTATTGTAGCTAATATTTCATTATCATGACTATATGTTGAATATGCTATTATAGTATCATCTTCTTTAATAATAAAGAAATAATTATCTGCAAAAAATAATGATTTTATTTTATTCAAAGGATTTTTTGAATCAAAAGATAATCTCTTCAAAATCTTCAATTCACCATAAAAATATTTGATTGTTACACTAAATTCTGTATCTCTATACATGAAATAAATGTTTTTTAAATCATGAAACCATAATGTGAATGTCTATTTGGTAATAGCAACTCCTAAATTAATATTCAAAATTTTATCACAATTGAAATCTGATTCAAATATTGAATATTATTCACATAACCAAATTTATATAATAAAATCATCACTTTGAATAATTTAATAAAATTAAGTTTGTTTTTCTGAAACCAAAACATCAGCATACAAAACTTTAGTAGGCCAAACAATAGGATTATTACTATTTAATATCCATCTTTTATTGATTATTCCAGTTACTTAATTATCCTCTAATTTATTTTTGAGTAATTCAAATTATTAATTTGGACCAGATGCTTATGGTTACAATTCTTTTTAAGTAGATCCTTCCAAAAGAGTTTTAGGGAATGGATTAACAGAATCTGATAATTTATATAGTTTAGAATCTTTATCATCTAATATTTAATAAGAAATCGTAACTGAACAGTTTTATTCATTCGGAGCATATGCTGTCAATATAATATCTTTTAAGGCTTTAGTTTCTGTACTACCCATATATTTTAAATAACCCATAGATAAAGTATATCTTTTAGTTAATAAATTTGAAATGACTACCAAATCAGGTAAATAAGGATTCAGTAGAATCACATCCTTTTAACTCAAAGTAAATCTAGAATTCAATTACATATTTTGAGTATCTATATTATATAAATAAATGGTATGTTCATTTCTTAATATAACATTTTCTTGAGATAATTTAATATAAGCAGGATACTCAAGTTGAATGAATGGTAAATCATAAATGTATTTTAATTCTGAATTTTCAATTAAAACAAAATAATTGTATCCCTATACTACTATAAAATGTGCAAGTGTTTCATCTTCTTTTATAAATGAATTGACACTAAATGCAAAAGATTATCCTGTTCTTGGGTAGATAACATTTTGAATTTTCCATTCTCCATTGGGTAAATAATTTACTATGTAAAGACCATTGTAAGCATCTAATAAATAGATATCTCCATTTGGTTATACAGAATAATCAACCAAAGAAAAATTGACTGATGGAACTCCTAAAGATTCTGCTAAAACTGCTTTGTCTAAAACAAAGTTTGTATTTTATGGTTCACCAGATTCAGACATTAAATATACTTCTACTAAAGAGTCATCAGCTAATTCTGAATCTAAACGAATAGAATATGCTGGTGTAAATCTAAAAAGATATTAATGTGTAACGCCAATAGCATTAGTTATTATGTACTATCCTATAGATCTCTATTTGAATGTTTAAATGTAGGCTTTTTCGGTGAAACTTTGAATTTTAGATCCATCTTTAGAGAGTACAAAAAAGATGTTTTCTAAGATTGTTTCATTTTATAAAACAACTTTTCTTTGACAATCTACTAGATATTATTGAGTAGATGAAAAATCAACATCAAAACAGTTTATTTAAGAATCATTTCTTTTAGTTATTAAATATCTCTAATTAAAATTGGGGGATTTATTAATATCTGTACTAAAACATATAGAATATTGATTATATACCCGTTAGCTATATTTAGGTAAACTTCATCATCTGTTTAATCTAGGAATACGAATAAGTTAAGCCAAAAGCCACTTTCTGCTTTACTTGCCACTTTAGCTGCAATTACATTAGAGGCAACTTTTAAAATAGAAATAGATCATTACCATTCTTATGTGAAGAATCTCTTTTAGTTTATTCAATTGGATGTATTATCTAAAATTCTTTTTATTAAGTGTCATTTAATGCATATGTTAGATCTGCACCATCAAAAAATTCTTATTTGATTTACCAAGTTAAAATTTCATTAGTGGTTGGATATATTGATATCTTATTTTATTTAGTTGCTTTTAGATAGGAATATATAATTTACTGCAACCATTTTTAATGATACTATTATTCACTATCCAAATACTTAAAACAAGGATGAGTATAGCAAATCTCATTTTTAAATAAATATTAATTAAAATCTTTCATCTTAGAACAAATGAATTTGATTATAAAATATAATTGATGATCCATAGATTAAATGATGTAAATTAATACTCTCATAATAATTTTTTTATTAATACTTAATATGCATATTGATATTCATCATGCTAATGGAACAGAATTATTTTCCACTTTATATTGCTCAACTTATTTAATGTAATTAACATAGTGTCTAACCTTATTCAAGACTGGAAGTGTTTCAGCTGAGATAACATATCCTAAATCTTCCTCAATCTAAATTTATATCATTATTAGATTACTTGCATAGACAATTCAATCGAATCTAAACTATCTAATCCATGTTATTCCAATTCTGAATCTAAATTTAAGGCTGACTTATTAATTATCATTATTTATTACTTTATTAGTAGTTCTATAATAATTCTTAACCAAACTTAAAACATATCCTTCAATATCTTATGATTTCTTCAATTAGAGATAATTCTTTGTAATCAATTATCCATCTTTATAAACTTAAATGGGTTTTGCTTATTATTATTTCCCTTAAGTTGTTGCTGGAGTCTTATCTGCAGCAAAATAAAAGATAGGTCTCATTTACAGCAATCTTAATCCTCTTATCATATTAATTTATTTAAATAATATATTTGAAATAACATATTTTTGTTTCTCTCTTCTCTTAAATACTCAAGATCCTCTTTTACATTTCTATCTCTTCATCAATGGTAACAATTTCCTCATTCTTGGCATATCAACATCACTTATATATCGAGTTCGTCTTTTTCTTCTCAAATTTGCTTTTGAACAATTTCGATTAAGATGTCTAGATCCAGCAGATTTAAATTTAAGCCTTCTAGCTCTTCTAGGTCCAACTATCTTAACTCTCTTTAACAATCCCTTATGATTTCCAATCTTATATTATCTATTTTGACTTCTAATTCTCTTTTTCCAACTTGATGATGAACTTTTTGTTTTTGATCTACCCTATCCTATTATTCGACTTTATTTAAATAATTTAGCCAATCCAAAAAATTACATCGGTTTCTAACAAATTTAGATTGGTCTAATAATAGGAATTATTTGCACCATATTTTTTATTGTCTAAGTAGCTAATCTTAACATAAATTCTTATTTATATATAAAAATCAAGATGTAATTTTATATTTCATTGTTAACGTTCCTTTCTGATTTGACATCATTTAAGATGTTCCTAATTTTGGTACACTTTAAGTTGTAGATAATTTCTAAACTTTCTATACTGATTTTATTGATCTTGCAATTGATGAAGCCGTAATTGGCCTTTAATTCTTCAATTGTTAATCTTTCTTTGTTTCTACAATTTATTTTCTTTACTCCTCTAATTCTTACTCTTAATCCTAATAAGTAGCAATTGCTCCCAATTAACCTTTCTCTCTCATTGCTTAAAATCTCTCTATTTTTAATTTCTATAAATCTCTTCTCAATATCTAATTCTAATTATCCATTATTGTTATAATCTTTCTATTTTAAATCAACTCATCCTTAAGAATCTCTACATTCTCTGTCAATTACTATATTTTTTATTATAATTCCTCATTACTTGAATTTGCTGCTACTATTATTTATATTTATTTTTCAAACCTCTCCCTTATACACATCTCTTTCCATAAATAAAATGTTCTCAATTTCTTCAATGATTAAAATAAAGAATTTATTTACTCACTATCCTCCTTAAATTTATCATATACTCCCACTCTCTAATATTCAACATCTAAATCTATATTCAATTTATTAACCTAACCAAATAAAGCCTCAGATGCCTTATCTCTCACTCTCTTCAATCCATCTGTCTTATATTCCTATATAAAATTAGTCATCTCCATTGATATCCCTCTCTTAAAATCTTAAAAACGATTTTACATCTACTATATCAATACATCTTAAGTACGAATTTACTCACTGAATTCCTCCTTAATCTTATCTCTCAATTTCTGCTTCTCTATATCAAAACTCTTCATTAACTATTCTATTTATTACTTCAGTGCATCATTTTCAAATATTAAATCATTCGTTCTCTGTGCAACCAAACTCTCCACTATATGATTTATATTAGATTCATAAAACTTTATTTTTTTCATTGCAAATCGAAGTTCTATTGATTTCTAATTGTACATTCTTTATAATGATTCATTTTCTATTACGATATGATTTGGATAATTTGACTTATTGAAATCCAACATTCTTTTATTGAAATCATTCAAATGCTTATCTAGATCACTATCTGCTATCACATGAGCATATCCCTTATTCAATGTCATTATTTTTAATGAATCCCTTTCTAAATTACTATAAAACACATTTAACTACTTTGCTACTTAATATGGTTAATCCATCTTATTCAATTAATTATTTAATTACTAATAATACTATTTACCCTCTTCTTAAAATATCGCCTAACATCCTATCATCATTGATATCAACTAAAAAACTTGATTCTCAAAACTTTCCAATCTTAATCTAGGCAAAATTGAAAACTTCTCTTATGCTGGTTCATAATTCATTCTTGTAGTCTTAGATCCTTTTTTAAGTTCATTGAATTATCTATTTATACCTGGAATTGAGTTTAATAATAGTCCAGCTTTCAATTATTATTTATGCATATTTTTATCACATAACTCAACACAGTTTTCTAACCATTGTGTACAAGGATCCTGAGTATCTGATGAAAATGGAAGGATTTCTCTTTTCTAAACTGTAAAAAATTCTGATAATATTAAATAACGAAATTGTAACACCATAAGTTTTCTATATGCTCTTTCATATTTGAAAAAATCATCAACTTCAAAAATACATTTATCTCTCAATATAGACTCTGATTCTGATACAATTAAATCTTATATTGTTGAATAATAAATCAATTTTGATTGAGGAAACAATGTAAATAAATTTGACATTGCTTAAGGAAAGAGATCAATTACATTGGATAAAAAAGATTCAATGTTATAATTGATTTTTTATGTTCTAAATAATATTTGCTAAGATGGAATCATATAAGGTGATAATTATGTATAATAATCTTCAAATTAAAATTCTTAAAGTGGCATATGAACATTATTTGGATTGGTTTAATGAACTTACACAAATTAAGAACCAAATGCATATTTTAACAACATCATTTTATCACTTATAATCTTTTTAGTTTAAATGGAAGGATATACTCTGGGTGCCTAATCCATCAATTTTTCAAGATGACACATATTTCTAAAGCAACCAGTTATTAAAGTGTTTCTTAATGTTGATATTATTTAAGGATATATTTCACTATTATCTTAAACTTGATTTCTAAACTGATGAACAGAAGAAATCATAGTGATGATAATTAAGAGATGAAATCGTTTAATCAATTTTTCTAAATAAGTCATAATCGTAAGATTCATATTCTAAATATTACCATTTGATAATATCTTTGTAATATTATCCTTATACTTTTATACTTATTAATATACACTTTCTAGGTCTCTTCTCAATCTTAACTAATTTCTTTTTAATTCCTCCATTCCAAGCATTCCTTGATTCAAATAAATAAGATCCTGAACATTGCAATTACATGACTGAACACCAATTAAGAATTAGACTAATTGTAGGGCTAATTGTTATGATCCAGATATGGGTTCTTAGAATTTTGTATTATTAGAGAAAGGATTGCCAGAACTCTTAAATTTTGGTTACTTTCTATTTGCAGACAAAGGAGTAACATTTTTCTCTAACTTTAATCGAGTTGTAGTCATCCAATCTTCATCTCCCAAATTATCAATTTCAGTATTTGAAACCTTATTGTCAAAATCTTTAAAATTAATAATGTTCATTATTGATGGTATGCTATGAATGATGAATGGGTTCTAAATTTATTGCATATCATTTAAAAATGGTTCCTCAGTAAATAAAGGTTTTACAAAGGGTAATTTCTAATTTAATTGAATCATCTATTCTCTTTATACAAGTGCATGTAATGTGAAAACTAATGATTGACAATTTTATGTTAATAATTTATTAAATTCTTATAATGCTGTTGATTGATTTTGCTGCATTTTATTTACAAAATTTTTAACTAATAATGAACCTCTAAATTGACTAGAAATCATACTAATGGCTGTCTATTTTATTTTGTCTTAATTATTTTAATCATTTGCATTTGTACTACTCTACATAATGTTAGCTTTTCTCTATGTTGTTTAAGCTTACAATGCTAATTTTTCTTTTAATCCTATTAGATCAATAAATTGATGATTCTATTTTTTGTTTATTTTTATTGCATTAAACAAATAGAAGTCTAATAATAATAATGATTTTAGAGGCATTAACATATCAATCATTTTATAATTATCTGCTGCAAAAGTTGTCCATAATTCAATTTATTGACATTCTTTACCAATCTTTAAATATTCATCCATTATTATCGAGAAAACATCAAAGTTTTTTTCATCTATAACTCTGTTCGGAATTAATTCTAATTTTTAAATCATTTTATTTGTCAAACCCCTCTCTTTAATTTGTTATCCATATATGTTGCTCAAATAATATATTCTCAAAGATAATTTATAAAATTTTCTTCTTAAGACTAAAAATTCTAAAAGAGAGAAAATATTAAAATTGCTGTCTTCTGGTAATTATTTTAGAATCTATGATAAATTATTTTTAGAATCTAAGATTGAGTCTTTATAAAATTATTTATAAGGAAACTCTTTATCAATCAATCTATCTCTTCTAATATATTTTAAAGTTTATTCCAATATATTTAAATCTTTAATAGAGAATAATTTTAAAATAAGTTTGAGAGATCGAGTATGAGTGAAAATATCACATAACAGATTCAACCTTTTAGTAGCTTCTTAATAATAAATAAGTACATTTTAATCATACTTAAATTTGGGCTATTAATGAATCAACCTGGCTAATATACTTACAGCATTATTCAATTCAGAAACTCTAGCCTTTTACAACAAAGGATAAACAATTTAAAATATTTTACATTTAGCATTGTTGTAATCAAGTTCAGCTTAAAGTAAATCTTTGACTGCTAAGAATCTATTTAATTATTAAGAATCAGAATGACTATTTTTTTCACCAATTTTATTTGTAAATTATAATGTAAATGCACTTATATGACTTACTTTATCTAATAATTAAGCTACATCTTTAAACACAATTTCATGAATAATTTTATGACCATTTCCATCTATAATTTCAAAAAGATTATGATTTCTTTAAATCTTCTCTTCACAAAAATAAGCTGAAGTATCTTCCTATGGAATGGTATCTTTAGAATCTAAACTTGTTATGAAAGCATTCAAAGTATTTTATTATTTTTTTTGTATTCTCTCTTTTGTTAATTAACTAGAAAGTTGATGTAAATCCATGAAATAGATATTTAAATTTTTCTACATAGTTCTCATAACATTGTAGCAATGCATAATTTAAATTAAAGATTCTCTTGATTCCAAATAGAGTAATTTTTAATATCTCTAGAAAAACTAGAAATATATTTCTGGAAATAGAGTTGATTAGACCTTCTCTTAAACTAATGATACATCCTTATTTATTTTGTCAAGTATTTTATCAGATTCATGATATAGTAAGAATTTCATCCATGAATTGATTGAGCTATCCTCATATTAGTTAAATATTAAATTCATTTCTGTATCTTCTTTATTTTAAATAATTTAAATATTGTCTAACCAATGAGCACTACTTCTAATTCTATACTAATTCTTTCTAATCTTATCCTCTTTTAATTCATTTAATATGTTCATAGTTTATTGTTAAAAACTCTTAGTCTTCTACTCAGACTAATCTAGATTATATGGAAGAAAAAGGAGATATTTATTACTCTATTCTTAGATCTTCTAGATGAAATGCTTATCGATAGCAAATAGAAACAAGGCTCCATTATCAACAGAAATATCTTGATCAACTCCTTAATCAATAGCTAATTATTACAATTCTTATTATAATTATGGCATTGTTACAGGAATTAAATACATGTTGCAATATTATGTAGAAATACTTTCTTATGTAGTAGATTCTAAACTCTCTATAAATATTTGAGTATCTAAATCATCTAATTTATCTGCCATTAAATTTTATTTGAAGTTGTAATATTCTTTCAAATGCTTTTATGTTATGAATGGCATGCTTATATATATTTTATTGTTCATTCTTTCAAAGATGAGATCATCATCAGTTGATATCTATATTTAAGGTATATCTTAATCAAATCTTGAAGGGTCAAAAATTCTTTCATTAGATAGTTTTTCGCTTATCTCTGCATATTCAATCAATTTTTCATCTATCATTTTTATTTCTTCATCAACTAAAGTCTTATTCTCGTCTGGATGTATTCTTTCTACATTTACTGTTGAATACATTTCTATTGGAATAACATCTGATTTCACCTTAACTAATGGATCATAAAACAGAACATCTTCTGTAGGATTATGTAATAAAGCTATTCTTTATCTTATTAAGTATTTTCTCCTAATCCATAAATTAGCTTATTAATTTTCATAAAACTAAAGTAATGCTTCTCTATAATCTTCAATTGTTATATTGAGACGCGCTTTCTTTTAGAGAAAGATATCAAAGTTAAATTATTGAATAGGATTAGGTTTGACACGATAACCAAATTCATGTAATATTTTAGAGATTTCTATTTCTACTTTTGTAATGTCTTAATTCCAAAATGTATTATCAATTTTAAATTTTCCCAACTACTTTGATGATTATTAACAAGTTTAATAAATTAATCTGAGTTCATTTGTTTATTAGGTAATAGGAAACTGTTATATAGTTTGAATAGCTTAATTTATAAATGGTAAACTCATTAATTATATTATTATTAATTTAGTCATTCATATTTGAGATTGTGCAAACAAGACTATATTATCAAAATAGATTGGACAATTATTAAATGAGAACAAGTAACGATATCTTGAAAATATAGAAAAATAATCTTTCTATTAAAAAGTAATTTGAAAAAATATATTCATAAAATAATAAAGAATTTAAGAGTACTATTAATAAATGGAGATGATAGAAAAAGATGTATTATTCTCTTTGAAAATGAATTTATAGCATTAAATATTCATACATAATTTAATGGTAAAAAAATAAATTATGATGAATCTTTATAATAAATTATTTTCATATATAATTTTATAATATGCTGAGAGATTAGATAAGGAACAAGAAATGAGAGAAAAAAAAGATTGGAGAAGGATTAGAAATAATGGGTAGAGTATAGAAATGAAAAAATAGAGAAGATAATTATATATATATATTAAATTTGAAATATATTTATATATATAATTTATTGATAAAATAAAGGAGGGTCATTAAAATCTTGAGGTATTAAAGCCATTTTTTTGAATGAAGAATATTAAAAATTAATATAAATTACATTTTTCTTGATGTCTGAGCCCAAAAAGAAGTTATGGATTGGCAATCTTGCATACAAAGTATGATGGCTATTTAAAATTGTATAGGTTCAAAAGGATGATTTAGAAGAGCTGTTCAAACAGTATGGATAAATCACAGAGATTAAAGTATTAGATAAGGGTCCTCATGTATACGCATTTGTTGAATTTGAAAAGGTAGAAAAAGCAATTGAAGCTTTTAATAGGTAAAGGAGTGAAAAATATCTATATATTAGTTTACAAGGTCGTGAGTTGAAAGGGTAAGCTATGAAGATTGAATATGCAAGTGGAAGGAAGAGGTAATAGTTAATTTAATTAGTATTTAGGAGTACAAATGATCGTGATAAAGACAGAGGTAGAGGAGGCAATGATAAATACAGGAAGAGAGATAGCAACTATAAGAGACGTTCCCGAAGTCGAAGCAATGACAGACATAAAAAGAAATCTAAAAGTTTAACTAACTCACTTACTTTACTTCTAATTAGGCAACAAAAGACACTCATCCAGCTCTGAGTCTTCCCGTAGAAACAAATAGTATAACAACAAAAAATAGCCCGTGCGTTCCCCCCCTTCGGATGGTCTTTCAAACTGAGTATCATTAATAAAAGAAAAAATATTTTAATACATCGAAATATCATATTAAAAAAAAAATCTTCCCTCAAATAATTAAACATTCAAATGTGTCTATTATTATTATACTACCAATCAATCCCAACTACAAATTTATCTATACAATATCCAAAACTTATCTATTATACATTCATTTAACTAAATTATTTCTAAATTTTTTTTTATTAACTTCTTTAATTATATTTAATCTACAGATTTAATCAATTTTCTATATAATCTATATTATATTATTTTTTCAATCTTCCAACAATTCTCTATCCATATATTTATCATTTTAATTTCCTCTTTCTATCATCCTTTATTATTTTTTTTATTTCAAATCTTCCTAATATTTTCATTAATTCCTTTAAATATTACTTTCCCCTTCAAAAACTTTATTTTTAATTCATTTAATATTACTTACTTAAATTCCTATCCTCTATACCATATTCTTTCCTTTTGTTCCCTTCAATACTATTTTCAATGACGTCATTTTTAACTCTAAATCTTTTTCATTTTCTCTTTATTTTTCACTTACCTAAATTAAAAGAATTTTTTCTAATCATTTTTATTACTATTCACATTTTATATGGATTATCCTATTTCTAAACCTAAAAATATCCCTTTGTTGTTTTCATTCCTATATTTTTATTATACTACTTTCAATTCAATTATAACATTTTTAATTTTAATTTATATCATGGGATTAAAATATTAAGAATCTTTTTAAATTATTTGCTTTTTAATTTAATTTTTGAATCTTTAAAAAAAATTAATAAATGATTATTCAAAATTGTTCTCTTACATGAATGAATATTAAAATCTTTATTGTTACCATATACTTTTGAGGTATTAGTTTAAAATAAATTAAACTATAAATATATATATAATTCAATCATATATCTAAAAATGAGTTTGAGTTGGCTGGTGTCTCCTAAATTACATAAAACTACTAATGGCTATTTTATAAATCATGAAAATATTAANCATCCAGCTCTGAGTCTTCCCGTAGAAACAAATAGTATAACAACAAAAAATAGCCCGTGCGTTCCCCCCCTTCGGATGGTCTTTCAAACTGAGTATCATTAATAAAAGAAAAAATATTTTAATACATCGAAATATCATATTAAAAAAAAAATCTTCCCTCAAATAATTAAACATTCAAATGTGTCTATTATTATTATACTACCAATCAATCCCAACTACAAATTTATCTATACAATATCCAAAACTTATCTATTATACATTCATTTAACTAAATTATTTCTAAATTTTTTTTTATTAACTTCTTTAATTATATTTAATCTACAGATTTAATCAATTTTCTATATAATCTATATTATATTATTTTTTCAATCTTCCAACAATTCTCTATCCATATATTTATCATTTTAATTTCCTCTTTCTATCATCCTTTATTATTTTTTTTATTTCAAATCTTCCTAATATTTTCATTAATTCCTTTAAATATTACTTTCCCCTTCAAAAACTTTATTTTTAATTCATTTAATATTACTTACTTAAATTCCTATCCTCTATACCATATTCTTTCCTTTTGTTCCCTTCAATACTATTTTCAATGACGTCATTTTTAACTCTAAATCTTTTTCATTTTCTCTTTATTTTTCACTTACCTAAATTAAAAGAATTTTTTCTAATCATTTTTATTACTATTCACATTTTATATGGATTATCCTATTTCTAAACCTAAAAATATCCCTTTGTTGTTTTCATTCCTATATTTTTATTATACTACTTTCAATTCAATTATAACATTTTTAATTTTAATTTATATCATGGGATTAAAATATTAAGAATCTTTTTAAATTATTTGCTTTTTAATTTAATTTTTGAATCTTTAAAAAAAATTAATAAATGATTATTCAAAATTGTTCTCTTACATGAATGAATATTAAAATCTTTATTGTTACCATATACTTTTGAGGTATTAGTTTAAAATAAATTAAACTATAAATATATATATAATTCAATCATATATCTAAAAATGAGTTTGAGTTGGCTGGTGTCTCCTAAATTACATAAAACTACTAATGGCTATTTTATAAATCATGAAAATATTAAGATAAGAGATGACTAATATTTTATTATATTGCAAGTTAGACACCAGAAAAGATTACAAAAGATGATCACTCAAAATACATCAAAGAGAAATTCACAGATGTTGATGTCAGATCTGGAATATTCTCTTTTGGTGGTATATTTTGCATTAGCAACAATGAGGGAATTAATTACATCAAGAATAACTAATCGTCCAATATTAAATGATTATTAAATTTGGGAGTAGATAATTTTCAATGATTTATGGCAATTAGGTTTGGTTTCAGCAGCATTTTCATATAATCTATCTTAGATCTTATTTGAGCCACTTTTTGTCTAAAGAAACTAAGTGATATCTGATTTATCTGAAAAATATAACTTTTCAGTTTTTGATTTCGCTTTAGCAAAGAAAGAAGCTAGATTAAAACAATTAAGAACAGAATTAACAAGTGACAGTAGTAATGCAGCACATTTCTGAATTAATTATTAAAACATCAATAAAATTATTATTATATTGTATAGAAAATTATTTGCAGAATTAAACTTAATGATTTCTTTTTTCATTTATATTTATCACATTTACAACTAATAAATAAATTGAAACAAATTTAGTAATAGTGTAAAAATAGAAAAAAAATACTAATATTGATATAGAGGAGAAAGGTATTGATTTAATAATTTACAGAGAAATCTATAAATTGAGAATGAGTTAGAAAATTTTCTATTATAATAATATTTATACTTTTTTTTAATAAATATTTACTTATTAGAAATTATTACAAATAATAAATTGCTTTAGCTTCTCATATTATCAAGATTATTAATTAAATAAAAACTTCTATATAATTTTGATCTAAATATTATTTAATATGCTTCTTTGATAAGTTTATAATAATAAGCCTTAAATCTAAAACGAAGTAAATTATAATAGAGTGTATTACTGTTTATTAAAGTTTCGTTTAATAATTAAATTAGCTTAAGTTTTATAATATAGGGAGATTCGAACAGATTGAAAAATTGTGTGTTTAAAAAAATAAATTAATAAATATAATTTAATGAGTTCTCATAGAGTGATTTGAGGTATTATTAAATATTTATTAATATTATTAAAATATATTAACATATGTTGGTTGGTAAAAGAAAGTATTTTGAAGATGAGCCAATTGAAGTAGCTTTAAAATTTATTAAATTAGACTAGAAATCCGACATTTGCTTTGAGAAGGCGAATTACATAGGATAGAAATTTAGAAACATTATGTCAAGCACGTAAAAGGCTAACTTAGTATATGATTATATTTAATTTATTTAGATAAAATTTGGTGAATATTTAAGAGAAATACCCTTAGATTCAATAATCAGATATTTTAAGATTATTAGAAGATTTTGACAATAATGTTGAGATGGTATCTGAGATTCTAGGTTAAAAAGTAGCCATTCCCTAAAAATTTGAGATTGTCAATTCAGATGTATGATTTAAACATATAAATTAGTTCGATAATTATAAGAAAGCTTTAAAAGAGGAAATGCTCAAAAGACTTTAATAATCATAAAATATTCAATCAGCCTAGTAGGTGATTTAATTAGGTTTTGATGATTTTGAGTAAAAGTTTGGAGAAAAATATTAATCTAATGTAACTAATTAATTAATAGTATAGACTTAAAGATTGGAAGATGAAAACAAATTATTGAAATAAGCATTCTTAAAATAACATAAGAGACTTGAAAAAATAAGAGTAGAAGCAGAAAATAAAGAAAAATAAAATTAAAATTTAATTAAATAACTCGCTGATGAAAAAAAGCAATAATAATAAATTAATAATAATCTCACAATATTATTAATATAAGCACAATAAAATAACTCTGTTGCAACTATTAATAATATTAATAATGATATATATTGAACATTATTGCTAATTAATTTTTTTGTATTCACATTCTTATTTGATAATATATAATTAAATTCATTATGAATAATAATAATAGTTTGGGAGTTAAAGAGAATAGATACAAATGCAAATCATTTTTTGAGTTATATTCTAATTCATTGCTTTAACAAAAGACTAAATCCAGAGATGCCCAATAGTATTAATCACTTTGTTAGCCTGAAGATAAAAAAAATGAATAATTATAAATTAGACCAAAGAGATCTGTTTAATATAATTCAATTTAAATGGAAACTAATTAAATTGAAAATTATTCTAATTCCCTAAGAAGATAAAGTACGGAACCAAAAAATAATTAGAAACGAAGAAATAATATAACAAAAACTGTATAAAAATTATAATTAATTAGTTCTGATAGAAAATATTAAGTTATATCGACTTATTAAAATCTTGTGAGATTGATAATTTTATTAATCAAAACATTCCAATTGAAGAAATTAAAATTAAGGATCATCATCAGAATTCAGATAATCGTAAAAGTAGCTTGATTTACAAAGAAAATTAAAAGGAAAATAATGTAAAATTACCAGTTTTAAAAAAAGATTGTTTATGTATAAAATGTATATAAGGTTTAGAATTTGATAAAATTGATTTTAAAGTTAGTTAGAGTAAATTAATGAGATTTGGTGAAAGTTTTGTAACACCATTTTTTGGAACTAAAAAACCAATATCTTTAGAGAAGCGACCTTGTGAATTTTAAGGAGTTGTTTATAAGAGAAAAAAATGAATTGATTAGATAATTTATTACTAAATTTTTCTCTATTTAAAAGAAAAGAAATAATTTTTATTAGATGATTTAATAAATAAATTTTTTAATGAATAGCATTCTCATGTCAAGTAATGGAATCACTTACATCTTATAATAATAATTAGGTAGTGGTTCATTTGGGACTGTATATCGAGTCTTAGATATGAGAACAAACAAATATTATGCTTGCAAAATAGTATTAATTTTAGTTAAAGAATAGATTTCAAAAGCTTTGTTATAGAAATACAATGCAGAATCAATGATAAGATAAGAGATTAAAATGCAATCAATATTAAATCATAAAAACATACTAAAAGTTTATAATTCATTTGAAGACAATCAAAATATTTATATAATTTCTGAATATTGTTCCCGTGGATCGTTATAATTTCCAAAAATCCCTTATTAGGAAAAAGATGTCTTTAATGTATGTATATCCTTGTTAGGAGCTCTGGATTGTTTACATTCCAATAAAATAATTCATCGAGATTTAAAAGTAAATATAAATGATTATATCTTCTAAAATTAGTTAGAAAATGTTTTTCTTCATGATGACGGAACTTATAAATTAGGGGATTTTGGTTGGGCTACTTATATCGATAAAGTGGAGCCCATTCTTTGTGGAACTACTGAATATATGCCACCAGAGGTTGTTTTAAAATAACCACATAATTACAAAGTAGATTGTTATTCACTTGGAGCATTAATTTATGTATTATTACTTATGAGTATTAATTATTAGATTTTACTTCATACTCATTTTCCAATTCAAGCTAGCTCTTAGCCTGCATTAATAGATAAAATTATTAGTCAAGAAGTTATTGTTAATAAATGTGTTGATGAGGACTTACAAATTTTAATTTAAGCATTGTTAACTAAAGATCCAATTGAAAGACCTTCAGTTTAATAATTGTATTTGAGTAGATGGATAAAAAAATAAATGAAGTTAAATAATATTTTCAATAAATATGAAAATGAATAACTCAAAAACAAATTTCGGAATAAAAATATTGCTATAAAGAGTTTAGAGATGAAGTAATATTTTAAAATTATAATCTTAAAAGTGGATCACTCAAATCTAGCTTATCAGATAGTCAAAAGAGTTCGTTAACTCACAGTTCAAGTACTTAAATTAGTTCATCTAATAATCCTTGTTCACCTCTTGCTAATAAATGCAATATTGATTAGATATTTAATTTCAAGGATTTTGAAAGTATCAACTCTGTACCATAACCTAAACTTTACTGAAATTGTTATAACTAAATTAATAGATTTGTAAATATATATATATTTGTATGTTTTTATATTAAATTTTGTTTTACAAATATTTAAAATATATTAATTGCTCATAAAATTTGTATAATATTTGAAATAATATACAAATAAATTGAGTTCTAAATTATAAAATATTTCTAATTGCTTTGTTGCATAAGAGTTTATTTCTTAATATAAATTAAAAAGGTTTCGATTAATAATGTAATAAACTCCTTGACTTAGTTAGATTATTATGATTATCATGTTATTATTTATATTAATAATGATTGAACAATATATTATCGATTCTGAAATTATTGAAGATGAAGTTGATCGTCCAGTTTCAGTTTACAATTTAAATGTTTGTTTAAAAGAAGACATTGATTTTAGAATATAAGATTGTTAATTAAATGAACCTGATATATAAGATTTAGAGTAAAAAATGAATAAGCTAATTTATAATTCTTGTGGTTTTAAAAAAGGATTGATTTAACATAAGAAACAACTCTAAAACTCAATAGAGAATCGAACTAAGAATCAATAGCTATTATTTAAAAAACCAATATAACCGATCTAATAATTATCTATAGTTTCTAATGGAGATCAATCATCATTGTTTTCAAGGAAGGAAACAGTTCCTAAAATCAATTTTGTCGGAGAAATGAAAGAAAGTTAAAACTAAAATACAACAATAGATTTAAGAAAAAACTTAAAGCTACATACACATGGTTCATTTGATATTACTAAATTATAAGATGGTTTATCGCCAGCTGTAAATAATCGATTTTCTTCTAAAAAGAAATCATAATTCTCATAAAGATCACATGAGACCTATAATTCATATTTAGATTTATCTTACAACAATACTTAACAAATTCCATCATAAAATTCAATACATTATCAAGATACAAGAAAAGAGAGATCCAAAATTGCGAAGACAACTATTAAATTCGTTTAAAATAAACATAATTAGAAACTTAGAATTTCATAATAAGCAAATTCATAAAGAGCATCTTAATTATCTTTATTATAATTAGAATATGAAGGAATAAGAGGAAGATCATAAAGTTCAGTTTCAACTCCAAAAAGTATTTTGAAAAACCCTTCACTTTAAAATTCTTAATTGGAAATAGCAAGCAGATTAAGTTTCTAAAGTAGGCTAAGTTTTTCAAGTCTTAATATAACAAATTAATCTCCTTAAAAATAACAATAAAATTCTTAATCTCCTCCAAAAAAAGTTAAATTTTGTTTAACCAAAAAATAAGCTAGAAGAGAAAATATTCCATGTTGATCTTGTCATTGATTATAGTAAAGTAAAACTTTTGCTGTATTATAAAAATGTATTTGTAAATAAATTTTATTTTTTTAAATCTAATTACAAAAATCAAAAATAAACATCAAAATCTTGAATTAATTTATCGTCCATCTAACTTTCCTTCACTTTGTTAACGATACCAGTCATTTCAATCATTTTTATTACTACTGAAAATGGTAATATTAATTCATTATTCACATCTTAAATATCAGATAATTTATGTAATATGTTAAGTAATGCTTTAAGAGTATGTTCTTCAATTTTTGTAGATCGTGCTTCCATTGAAAATAAATGATTACATATGTTAAATAATCCTATTTTTATTAATTTTGATAATTATTCTTCATTTGCCTAAATATTATTTATAATTTATACTTAAATTGAGAAATTCAAAATCACATAAGAAAATTCAAGTGCTTCATTATCTGAAAATCCATAGCATTACTCAAAAATATCTTCTAATAATTTAGAATCTAATAATTTAGCTAAAAATTCTTAATTATGAATTTTATTTGAAATAGCCCAAAATAATTAAACTTTTAAAGCTTTATTGATATCCTATGTTTAAAGATTTTAATTTATAACTTTATTATAGATTATAAATTCTTTTTCTGAATATTAATCACTAACACCAAAATAAATTATAACAACTTTTAAAGCTAAAAAGTCATAATTTGATTTTAAAGCAGCATCATAAATTTTCAAAAACATTGGAGTTGAGATCATTTCATTTGCAAAAGCATAATTATTATCAGATGATATTTTGGAAGGTATTTCCTCAAGTATTTCTAAGGCTAATCTTCTTATAGCTTAACTTTCATCAAAATAAGATTTGATTATATATTCTTTTATAGATTGTATTTTTTCAATATTTATTTCAATACAAAAAGTAAATGCTGAACCTATCAAGGCTAGAATAACTTCAGAATATTATCTTAAAGGATCAAGTATCATTAATTAACTTAAAAATTCAAAATCATTTTAGATTATAAAATCTCTATACATCTATTTTTCTTAGGCTAAAAAATAGATACAATTTAATGTCTAAAAATGATACCAATTTCTACCTAAGGAATGATTTCTTATATTTCTTCTTTGATATTTTTCTATAAATATTCCAAAAGTAGAACATCATCTAATTCTGCAAATCTTTAATAATCTTCTCTATTTAAATAATAGAAAACACTTTGGATAAGAGTAATACTTATTTCTTGAAACTCACTATCTATTTTAGATAGATTAATAAGAAATCTGATTTAAAAAAGGAATTGTTACCTAAATTTTTTTACTATATTTTCAGTCACCCAAAAATCAATATTTTATTCATCTTCTAAAGCTTTCTGAAGTACTTTAAGTAATAACATAATATTATTAAGATCTTCTTCAACTAACTATTCTTTAAACTGAAATTTTGAGAGTTCATCACAAACTTTATGAAGAAATATATTTTTTGTTTATTCATAATTATAGAACCGTCTTTTTTTCTTAAATTCATCTGTTAGTTTTTAGTGTCTTATTTAGATTCTAAACTTTTCTCTTTTCAAAGTTAATAAATCATTTGATCCGCCTTAATTCATTTTAAATATTAATTTAATAATTGTATATTTATAATCAACATATAGGTAGATTTGTATGTGAACCCATTTTACTAGCAGATCTGGGACTGATTGTTGATAAAATAGTTGTCATTTTCTTTTGATTAGAATTATTTTTTGGAACCTCTAATAAAGTTTTTAAAGAATTTATTTTTTTTGAATAACTAATTCGATCTGTTGTAAGAGCCAAACTGTTATTTTATGATATTAATTTTTCAAATAATAAATTATTTCTATTTCTATAATAAATTATTACTTAATTGTATTAGTTTAAGATGATCTTCTAGTTGAAAATGGTTTAGATTAAATTAAACTCTCTTTTTCATCCATAAATTACTTAATTGTTTCTTTAGTATTAATACTAATATCTCTAATTAATTATTCTTCATCTTGTGTTTTATTTTAACTGTTTATTTCTTTACTAAATTCTTTATTATTATTAATTATAGATTTTTCATCTACTTTAACAGTTTTTGTATGTCTATGCGTATTATTAAATTTTTAAAAAATATTAGGTGCAGATTAAAATTTCCCTTTTCTCTGATTATTATATTATTCTAATAATTAAGATTGTTCAGTTTTGGCTTTGATTTAGAGTTGTAAACTTAAAAGTTATTGTAATTAATTAATGTTTTTAGCTTATTGTTTCTTCATTCTCTTTCTTGATTCTCTTGTTTCATGTTAAAAAGGATCTTTCTTAACACCAATACAACCGAAAATTTTTTTAAATTCTAATATTATTATAAAATATTACAAATTTATTATTTAGATTATTTTAATGTTTTATCAAATGAAAAAGTGTTAATTTATTATTATGCTAAATCTTGATTATGCTATTCAGCTAAGTCTTGTAACTCTTATAATTTAACTGACTTTTCTATTGCATTACCATAATAAACTTATAAAGTAATATCTTCTTTATTAAGTTATTTTTTTAATTTTCTTTCCTATGAAATTTGAACTTTAGGTTAAGAGAATCCTTCTGATTCAGTTTAAAATCTAGTAGATAATCCATTATCTGAATATTTAGTCTTCATTAATGCTGATCTACATATTGTTGTAGATTCATTTTCATTTGTTTATTATTTATAAAGCATCTGAACACTAGCATTAGTTTTTAATGCTTTTGATTTTTCTAATTGGGTATCACTATCAATTATTTCAGAAATGAACGGTAATTAAGATTTATCATAATAATAATATTGCCTTCTTATTTTAGTAAATTCACTAAATTCATAAAGCATATTAGTATAGTAATTTAATTGATCTTCATCTTCTGGGACTTTAGATTTCTCCTCTTCTGGTAAAGCTTACTTTAAAACTTTTGATATTTCAGCTTTTTCAAGTGCATATTGAATGTAATTTGAATTGTCAACAAATTATTAGAAATACAATTTTCCTATTGAATCTTCTGGCTAATAGTTTGAATCAACCCAATTCATTATTTTTATTGTTTCTTAATATTTTAAAAAGTCATTCAGTTACTCATAAACTAATGCTATTAAGAACAAAGATAATATAATTTCTTTAGTCTATTTATTTTTTTATTGATTACATAATAATTAAGAGTTATTTTTATTTCTTCTAAAGATGTAAGAGTTATTTCCTTATATACGATTATCAAATTCCTTTAATAAAAATCAAGTCCTTTAAGATAGTATTTTAAAGCTACCTGAAAGTTTTACAATTAAAAGTAACTGTTTCCAGTAATCAAATTAAATTTACTATTTTATTTGAACATTTTCTTACCCTTATAAATTTAAGAAAAACCTTATTTTATCAATTTATGCTTATTCAATTATTCTACTATTAAGGTAATGAAAATACAAGAGACCCCTTGCTACTAATTGATTTTTTTAATAATATTAAGATCTAAATAGTATTGCCTTAATCATTAAAGATATCAATTCTTGAGTGTAAAATTTTTCTAATAAGAATTTGAATATCACTTACTCTTATACTAGATCTTCAAGAGTGAAATATTATCATGAAAATCTCTCAAATATAATTACAACCGATTCCAAAGTATAAACTAATTTTTACCTTAATTAATTTCACCCTTGTTGATTTTTACTTTGAAATACATCAATGTACAATAATATAATCGTCTCAAGACTTTTATTCTTAAAAGTAAAGGTGATTCAATTGGTAGCAGTTTTTTATATTAACCATCCAAATGTAATACACATTTACGATAATATCCCTAAATTAGAAAAGACTTACATTTCTAATAAGTGTATTGGAGTCAACCAAGAATTATTCAATTGAGTTTATTAGTTAAGGATTTTAGGGTAAACCTGAAAATTTAACTTATGACATATATAAATTTACAATATTAATAGATGATATTAAATTGCATGAAATATATATATATAATATTATGATACTTACCTATTAAACATTATCATTGATCTTTTCTTGGAACTTCTATTGCATCCACATAATTATATTTTTTGAATTCTCCTATAACAGCTTTAACTGAAGTTGCTGGTATCAAACCTACTTCTGTCACTATCTAAAAAAATAAATTATTTTTATACCATATTAATATAATTTGATTATGTAATATCATATCTAAGACTTAAAGAAGTATACTATTGATTTTCATTTACTTATTATAATTATGCTATTTCATTCCAAGATAAAGAATCAATCTAACTCTTTTCTGAGAATTTATAACTTTCACAAAATACTAAAAATGGAATTTTATGAGTTGATGCTAGACATGCCAATAATGCTGTTCCTACTCTAGATACTAAAGCTCCATTACATAACATTGATGATGCTCCTACTAATATTTTATCAACCTATTTTTATAGTATTAATAATTCTACTTTTGATAATATATAACTGACATGTGACAATAATATTTAATAACAAGATATTCCCTATTATTATAAACGTTTCACTAATTATGAACCTTCTCCAAATTAAGGATTATCCACCACAAATATAGTCAATTACTTTCCTTACTTAAAGTAATTTATTATAAAATTTTCAATCAAATATGATCTAGCATACACTAAAATAGTTGTTCCTTCTTAAATTAATTATGTTGCCTTTCAAATATTTATTTAATAATTATACATTTTTAATTATTAATTCTGATGCTGATATTATTTTTGATTGAATAAATTAATCAATCTAATTGCATAACCATATTTTTGACTCATTTTCATCAAGTTTTGTATCCCTTCTCAATATCATTAAACATTCATTTATAAATAAATATGATGTGCTCATTCCTTCATTCACTGTTCTAAAGTTTTTCATTAAATTAAAAATCTTTTTTAATTCATCAACAAATGCTATAGCAAAGTAATTTGATTATCTTGATAACTTATAATCCTTTATGAATTATTTCAATGCATTAAGAAATTCAACACATCTATGGGTAGATCCTATACATTATCCATTTTAATATTAAATACAAAGTTCAACAAAAGAATGATGTAAAGTTTAAGGCTATAATTAAAGTAATATCTTACATCAATTTATTTAACAGATTTTATACTTTCAGAAGTATAGTCTTAAAATATTGGAAGATGTGAAAGAAAATCTTATCTTTTATTTTACTCTTTTTATTCATTTTTTTAGACAATATTTTATTTATCAACGATAGGCTATTCTTCTTTTTTTTATTATTAAACTTGCTTAATATTTTATTGTTAAATTGTTTAATTAGATTCTTATTTTATTTTATTAGATTCTTCTTATTTAGATTCTTATTTTGCTTCAGTTTTTGTTTATTCTTATTCTAATTTTTATTTTTCTTTATTTGCTTTCTTATCAAATTTTTCCTTGGGTTTCCATGGCTCTCCTTTTTTTGGATTTTATTGATTTGGTTTTTCAGACATTTATTCTTTAATATTTATTATAATATTTAAGAATTAAAATATGGATATTGAGACTTTTGATGATTGGACTCCTGATCCTCACAAATAAGATAGTATACTTAATTTTTCAAACATTAATTTTTCTGGTATCAAATATTCTTTATGTTTAGATAATGTTATTAAGAAAAACAAAAAAAAATTAGAAAATTAAATTTATGATTCCTAACATGTTTTAAATTATGCCTAATAAAATTGGATAGATGATGATGAAGATGAAGAAATAAATAAAGATCCTCAATTAGAATTTAACTTTGAATAAACAAAAAAATAATTAATGATGGAATAAGTTTTTTATAATCCATTAGAAGATTTATTAAATGAAAAATATGTACAAAATAAATATGAAACTCATCTTAAAAATTCTGAAAATAATACTGTTATAAGTTGTTCAAATTGCTTTATTTAAATTAGTTATCATTGTTAATAACATGAGACTTATAAAAAGTAATATAGAGCAATGGTAACAATTAATACAAAAATCATAGAAAACAAATTTGTTAAACCATAAGAAAACCAAAAAACAAAAAATGATGATATATTTTTATCAGTTCAATGTAAAGTCTGCTAAGAAGAAATTGGAGTCTATGATATCAATGCAAAATTATATCACTTTTATAATGTAGTTTCAGGATTAGGTTGATTTATTTTCTTTCATTATATTTTTAAAATATTTATTTATATATATTTTTATATTACCATACAATAATTTATATCATAAAGAACAAATTTAAATATAATTTTTCTAAAATCTTATCCTCATTGATATATAATTCCTATCATTTTGAGAATGCAAAAAACAAAAAAGAATTTAAATGGTTCATTATATAATTATTTTCAAAAATACTAAAATGATTTAAAAATATTATTAAATTCATTGATAATTATATTAGTCTTTCTAAACGTTAAAATCTCTTATTTTTAAAATGTTATATACATTTATTCATTACGTTTCTAATTATAAACTCCTCCAATAAAATTTAAACTTAATTTATTTCTGAAATGACCCTCCTTCAATAAATTTCTAAATTAATTATTAAAATGATTACATCATAACATATAAATCTGATAGATGAACACAATTCTTGCTTAATTTTCTTACAATAAGATTTATTTAATTCCCATAACCCTATTTTCCTTAATTTAAAGAATAAGTCAACTTCTTTTAGTTTAAAAAAGAAATTTTATGAATTACTAAAAAATTTTTTAATAATAATGACTATTGAAAGTAACTTAATAATTGGTTATAATACGAAATAGCAATGAAATAATTATCCAACAACTAATTAGAGGAAAATCTTGATGGAAAATAAGCAATATTTCGAGTTCCACTTTAATAATTTAATGAATTTAACATAAACTAATAGTTGCTACACATTTTCAGATGAAGAACAACATGTTAAATCTAAAAATTTATGGCATATTTATAAAATTAGGAAAATTAATAATAAAGATAAGAAGATTTATAAGAAATTCTTTAAAAGTATCTAAATAATAAACTCAATTAAATTTGTAAAAGTTTAATTAAAAAAATTAATCACTAAATAATTCTATTAAAATAAACATATAATATATTATCATATTGCTAGGGGTTAAATAATTCTATAGAAAGAAGGGTAATTTGTTAAGTTAAATTTAATAAAATAGTTGAAAATAAGGCTAAATTTCTTTTTATGAATTAGATAAGTTACATCCTAATAAATTCTTCATTTCCAATTTAATTTGATGTTCTGATAAATCTAAAAATCTGGTTCTCTCCAAGAAACTTTCCAAGATTTTTTAAGTAAATACTAAAATTTGTTGCATATACTAAATTACAATTTTATGATTAAAAGATTTAATTTTCACATTACATTTAGATTAAAGATACCTTTTCTTTAGAGTTGTATTAATTAAATTGCATTAAAATCAACTTAATTAACATGCTGAGAGGCTATTTTAAGTTATTAGGCAAATAAATTGAGTAATTCATAAATTTAAATAGAATTAGCTAATCTGTTATTTTTAAGTTGATTCAAATCAATAATTATATTTGAATTTAGTATAAATAAACAATTTCAGTTCATCAAGCTTCCCCTTTCTTATAGAAATAAAGATAATACATGCCAAATATGTAAAGTACTTTTTTAAGTAAATTATATCATCTATAAATTCATAATCATTTTCAATTACTTTTTATTCCTTCTCATTCTTTTTAAATTTATCCTTTTTAATTAAAAATGCTTTGTAACAATTTTTTTTAATAATAAAATATAAATCTTTCTCATAATTAAGTTAAAAGAAAAGAAATTCTATAAAAATGAATAGTTAAAGTAAAAATAGTAATTAAAAGATATATTACATCCTTAAACTTTTTTATGAAAATTATTACTCAATAAAAATAGTTAAAACTAATTAAAGTTTGACTTCTATTACATTGGTAAGACAGAAAAGAAGTAAATAAATTACAGGGTAAAAAGATAAAATTAGAACTTCATTACAAGTTTAATTATTTTAAATAAATCTTTGGAATATTTGTTTTTAGCTAGACTCATTAGCAGATAGAGAAAATTTTAAAAGGACTAAAAAATATTTTGATAGAGTAAAAATACATTTTTTAGTGCTTGAAGTACACTTAATTAATAATTAATTTGGGAATAGAATTTTATGGCAGTGGATATAAACTTTTATTATATAATTATGAATAAAAATTGTAATAATTCTAAAACTGAAAATAATAATAAATATTAATATTTAATTTCTATATATAAATACATTTAGATTAATGAAAATAGTATATATAATACTTCCAACAGCTAATTTTCGGTAAACTCATTATTTTAGACACAAAAAGGTAAAAGAAATAGACTTATACAATATTATTAATTTTATTTAATTCTTTCATCAAAATATCATAATTTCTTCGTTTTTTTCATCATGTTTCAATTCTTAATGTTTAACTTCAAAATCAATTGGATAGACTTTATTTTTTGTTTTTGGTTTTTAATCTAAATTCCTCACTTCATGTTTGAAATTTGAATTTCTTTTGATACTAGATGGTTTAAATTATTCTGGATGAGAATCATTTTCTGTATGAATATCATAAATTCCTGGATGAGAGTGAACAAAATTAAGTAAATATACTTTGATTTTTTAATATCTTAATTTAATTTTTTAATGTTATTATCCTTTATTTGTTAATAATTTTTTCATAATCTAACTTGATTAAATTAATTTTGGAAATCTTTTATTAATTTTATCTCTAATTTTATCTAGATTTTCTTATTAATCTTCTAATTATGCTTGCAATATTCCCCATAAAATGTAGAAAATAAATGTTCCATTTAAAAGAATGAGACAAATATAAAAAGGTAAGATTATCTCTTAATTTTCTGATATATTAGCTTAATAGATTGTAATTGATAATACAATTGAAGTACCACAAATAAGTGTACTTAATTCATCAATTAAGTTTAATTTTGGGAATTGATAAGGACGATATTTTCTTGTTAATAATTAATATATAAAAACAATAATAAAAACTAAAGCTCCTTTGATAATAATTAAATCTTCATAAAATGTTAAGAATATAATAATAAATCCTTTTTAAAGAATTTTGATAATTTCCCAAAAGTATGCAGTTTTAGAATATTCGTTATATAAATATCCAAAATTTTTTCTTGTGTTTTCTTATTCTAATTATTCTCTTAATCTATATAGATTTATAAATAAATATGCTGGAATAATTATTCCTAAACATAAAATAGAAGGTAATATAAAAGTTAAGATCCAATTAAAATGTTGTTAAGTATCATATCTATATGCAACATTACCTTAGATCCAATAATAATTGGATATATATCGAAAGGACATTAAGGAGATAAATCCTCCTATTAATGTAGGTTATAAATATGTAAATAAATAAATTGCTGTAGTTGTAAATGCACTCTTATTTAATTTAGTAAAATGAAGGGTAACAACTATCATATAAATAAAAATAAATGTTAACATATAAATTAATGGCATGATCAAAGCCCAGATCATTCTAAAATAAATGATATCGATATCTGTAATATCTATTAAAAAACAATCTAAAGATAAACTCATAGCTTCTGTTGGATTACCAACTGATCTAACTGATGATTGTAATACACTTGGTAATTATAATTAAAATGTTGAAATAACTCCAATAATTTAAAAATAATTAGTTAATACTTTTATTAATACATTTCCTTAACCAATTCTAGGATCTTATACTGATGCTATTTTCAATTTAATTCTTTTTTATTAAATAATAAATTTATTAACTGTTTCAATTGTTCCTTTAACAGATAAAAATATTGATATCATAGTCCAAATACTAATTAGAATAACTTTAATAGTATTATCACCAATATTCTAACAATCTCCACATTTATAAATTGTGCTTACTGAAAAAGATCCTTAACCCCTTATATTATATAAATCACATTGTTCACATAAAGCTCCTATATGTGCTTCTGAACATAAATCATTACCAGGATTCCATCCACCTATACAATTTTCAGGCAAATTCAAACAATATTCTATATTCTCACTATTTTCATATGGTCTCCAATACTTTTATCTTAACATTATTCTTGCTGAAGAAACCTTTTCCATTTTTATTTAATCCTTTATTTTACATTATTCTCCAGCTCTTGTATTATATTAATAGGAATTAGGATCACACAATTTACATGTTCCTTATTAAGTTTTATATTCTCCTCTTTGACAAGGAAATGTTTATAAATTCACTCTTAATTTGTAATTTGTTTCATAATTTTTTAATAAATAAGGGGGTTGATTATCAAATATTGGAATTTTAATTGAATTACACATAATTTCTAATTATAAATAATTTTCTTATGATTAATCAGGATCAAAATTAACTATTAAAGTATCTAAATTATAATCCTAACTTGTTGTATTGAATTCTACCTCTGTAAGACTAATAAAATTATTCTAAAATTCTCCTTCTAAATTATTTGACATTTATCTACCATTGAGTGTACATTTACTACCATCTAAAGCTTTAATTTAACTATTCTCTTTATCAAGTGGAATTATTCTTAATGATAAATTTAATGGTATGTATTCTTATTTTTCTTCATTAAAAATTTAATACTCATTAATAGCTTATCCACTAGGCAACATTAATAAATCTATCTCTTTTTACCCTATATAATATTTTTTTATATCTATAATTTATATTATTTAATTTTATTTATTTTCTATAGTTTTTGTTTCTAAAAGCTTTGAACCAAATTTAAGACTTAATTTTATTGGAAAATCAGCAACATTATTACTAAATAAAGACGCTTTATTATTTTAAAAAACAATATTAGTTTAATCTTTACTTTAAAGAGCAAAATTTTCTAAAAATATAGCTCCCCCTACATTTGCTTAATTATTTTCAAATAATGTATTAAAAATTAAGAATTAAGATTTATCATGATAATCTAAATATATAGCACCTCCTGTTTCTTTTCCTTAATTCATTTTAAATTAACAAGATGTGATTAATATACTTATAGAAGAGATTAAAACAGCACCACCATATGTTGCAGTATTATTTTTAAAGTAACTTGATTCAATCTTTACTGTAACTGGCTTAGTTTCATAATATCTTTCAACTTCATTCAATACTCTATTAGAGCTTATTTGAGAAAAAGATCTTAAAGAAATAACGTCTTTCGAACTTACTATTAAACAACTCTAAATTCCACATATGTTATCTTCCATTTTAATCTATTATAAATAAACAAGATTCTAATTTAATTATTCTTCTATTTTTGTAAATCTTAATAATCCTCCTTTACAATTAGAACATATTATATTCTAAAAGTGTAGTTTTTGTATTAAAATGAAATGATTTAAATTAATTGAATCAATTTAAAAAATAAAAGCAGGTTTTGTTCTTTTTGATATCAAAGCATAAAAATTATAAAGACTAATAATGTATGAATTCTTTTGATCATAAAGTTATTATAAAGAGTTTGGGGTCGTATATTAATCAAAACATTTTTAAAAGAAAGGTGGAATATAAGGAATTATACTGATTGGTTTTTTAACATCTCCAATTGTTTCTTATAAAGTCATTAATTTTACATTGAATATTTCAATATTGGTCATATATTCTATATAATATATAATTAATTACTATTATTTAATTCAAATTTAAGAATACTTCCACTAATCAAAGTAAAATTTTCCATTAAAATATTCTCTAATTTGATCGATTGTGCATTTAATATTTCTAAAACTCCATAATCAAATAAATTTATAATATTACAATCTTTTATAGTAATATTCCCTCTTTCAATAGAAATTAAATAATTCTTAGTTTAAAAATTGATTTCTGATTGGGTTATATCTCTAATTCTTCCTAAATAAGATAAGAAACCTTGATAAGTATTTTATATTGATAAATCAAGAATACGAACGTCTAAAAATAAAGTGTTGCTCGTAAATATGATGGGAAGTTTTAAGAAAGCATTTGCCAATGAATAAACATTTTAAATAATACTTTTAGTAATTAGTATAGAATTCTTGACTCTGGATGGTTCAATAAAGATTGCTCCTCCTTCTTATCTACTGAAACTTGATGAATAAGTGTTATTTTATATTATTAAATTTAAATCTGATTAAGAAGCATCAATTAATAATGTACCTCCTTATGATTTTTCTTTCATTAATAAATTGGTTTAGCTGAAATTAAAATTGCAATCCTCAATTACAATCCTACCATTTGATTAAGTTAAGAAATAAAATGCTCCACCTTATAAAGCTAATGAGTTATAGCTTGAAACATTTCTTAAAGTAATCGAATCAATTTAAAAATATGCATTTCCTCCCTTTGAATTAATTGGAAACATCGGATATAAATTTTCTATATAAACAATTTCATCAGATTGATATCCCCATATTAAACGATCTTTTAAATATGAATATTGTAAATCATTCTAAGAATTAAAAGAACAATCTAAAATATTTATATTAGCACTTATTAACACCAGATTAGATCCTTAATTGTTGGTTATTACATTGTTGGAAAATATAGATTCTCTTAAAATAATTTCAGAATTAGGATTTTCAATATAAATAGTTGATGATTACCTAAATTATTGATCCTCTTAATAAGAATGATGATGATTATTAAAAGCCATTATTCCTTTCAATGATATTTTTTATTCTTACTCAGATATTATACTAATTACAGAAGGCTATTCTGAAAGTTTTGATAGGATAATCGTGTTGTTAATTAAATTTACTGATATAATTTCAATATTTTCTGGATATCTAATATTAGTCTTTTCTAATGATTTTACTATGATAATAGGCGAATTGATTGCTATTAATCCTATAATTTCAAGTTTATCAATTTGAATCGCTTTTGAATTATATATCTATAGCATACTTCCATAACCAATATTTGGATTCTTTTAGAAACAAGAAACATATTAATGTAACAGATTAATTTTGAATTCATTATCTAATGTTGCTGTAACATTTTTAAGGATTGTCTTTTATGCATTATTTATTGAAATCTCTGGAAGATTATATGCTCTTATTATTTTAACATTTTCAATATTTATTTATTTTAAATCAAAGTATAGAGATGAATTGCTTGAGGTAATTAAGCCTTAATAATTTGATTAAGTAAATAAATTTGACTAAATTGTTAATCCATTGAGGTGAACTTCCAAATTCTAAAAGTTATTACTTTCAATCAATTCAATAAAAACTTGGCTGCCTACATAATTATTGTTTTGAAATGTTATTTAATTTAATTTAAGTAAATTTTATTAGATATTATCTTTGTATAAAGTATCAAGTCTATTTGTTATTACTCTTGTATTGAAATCATTAAAATTGTTGTTCAATATTAACATATTACTTATTGTAAATAGAGGTAGTTTAAATAACTAAGTTTGAAAATAGAAATTCCCTTTTGAAACAGAAATCTTAACTAATTCTACACTTAATGCTCCAGGCATAATTATTAAACTAGAATTAGTTAAGTTGTCATTTTCTGAATTTAATTATTCAATTACATTAAGAGCTTCTCTAATTTAACTATTAAATTCAGTATAGAATAAAACTGAGGATTCATAGACATTATCTGATGACTTAAAATTATATACTTACAATTATTAATTTCCATATCCTACATCTAAAATTTAAACAATTAGTTTGGAGTTAATAATTTGACAATTTTAGATTAACAATTAATCAATTTTAAAAACAAAGTTCTGACTTAATTGTTGAGTAAATTTATAATTTAGAATTCCATTGAGATTAATTAATTTTGAGTCTAAAATTTAAAAATTCTTTATTATTATACTATTAGGATTTAAGATTTGAATTCTAAATTAATTTTCATTGATATTTTTAATTTTAATTGATTCAAACAAAAAAGAACCACCATAAATATTATTAATATTTAATGATGTAGTAGAACTTATTGGAATAATCTAAAGATTCTTTAAACTAACAGTAGTAAATTCATATAATGTAACATTATCATTCATATATATCTACATCTAATTTGATGATTAAAATATTAATTCTAAAAATTGAACTGTGAAAACATTTTGACGTATGTTAGATGAAATAAATGAATTTTTATTAATAATACAATCTTAAGTACTTGGTAACAAGTTTAAGATATATCTTACTAATTTCACACTTTTTAGATTCAATTCATGAAATAAATAATCTGTTTCCACAGAGAAATGATTTTGAGGATTTGTGGAAAAAATGTTAGAAATAAGTGCATTTTTGCTTAGGAAATCATCTTATTGTTCTAAGGTTTCTAGTCTATTATATTATTGATCAAAAGTTTATTTGGAACAATAAATATTAATAGGAATTTCTAGAAAAAGATAACAATTTTTTTTTTCAAGATTAAGACAATTAATTTCATATCCTAAAGTAGGATCATAATATAATATTCCTTAAGCTGGAAGTTCAGATTATCGTTTTATACATTGCTAAGCATATTTTTGTAAAGTTATATCAGTGGGTTGGAAATATGGATTAATTTTCAATTTTTCTTCTTGGGTGATTTCTCTACATAATTCACAAAATTTCGGACAAAGATGGCATTGTCCATCATAAACAGTTTTTGTATTTAGACTTTTGCAACTAATACAAACAGGGATTTCATCTTCAATGATGCATGAATCACAATTGCATTTTGGATAACATTTATTATTATAAAGTATACCATTTGATGGACAACTTGTGCAAATAACTTCTAAATTATCTGGATCTACTTAAGTTCCAAAAACATTAAAACTGTGTTATCCATCTAGTAAAGAACTTCGAAAATGATAATTTATTTTATATTGCCATTTCCATGCATCCTAATAAATTTTGCTTTATTCTAAACAAGTAGAACAGCTTGATGGACATTGATAACATCTTCCAAGGAATGTATTTGAATAGTAACCATTGTAACATTGCATACAATATTATTATTCTTAAATATAATTATTAACACAAATGAGGCAATTTGGATCATCACAAAAAATACCAGTAATGGGATTTGAAATCATTGTGAGGGTTGAATAAGAATTAACACGATCTCCATATATTATTTAAAACTATAATTAAGGAGCTTGAGGTTTACTAATTAAAGCCAATTAAAAATTATTATTTTAAGACTCAAGAACTTTAACTTTTAATTCTTCAGGTATAATAGTACTTAAGGATTCAACTGTGACACATTCATAATGTTGTTAAACTAATAATTTATTGATATAGCCATTCTCACACTTCATACAAATTTAAAATGTAGGTATGGTTTCTTTAAATGCAACTACATCTAGGGAATTACTATATTATTAAGTTAACATAATGTAACTTTAATTAAAATAAACTAAGTAATTTTCTGATGATTCCAATTCACAATTTGGTAATGATTTCTTTCTGCAATTCAATTTTTCTACAGATATAAAATAATCTGTATCATGAATACATCTTAAGCATTGTAGATTATTCAATACTGAGGAGAAAATACAAACTTTACAAAATTGACCACATTATTAACATTATTCAAGTGTAGAATTAAAATAGTATCCAGTAATACAATTATTGCAGTAATATCCAGTGGAATTGTATTTACAATTGGGGCATTCTATAGGACATTCCAAACACTAATTTTCAAATAGAGTATAATTGAATTCACAAGTTATACATAATTGATTGTCATCACATTGATTGCAATTCATATTAAATTTTATACATTCTCCATTAATAGATCTATAACAATTTTTACATAATATATTTTATATTCTATCTAATGTGAATTTTTAAATAAAATTAATCGTACTATTATTACTTTATTAAAAACATCCAAAACATGTCTCTAAAAATGGATGTTATGACATTTAATCGAAATTAATTAAATAGTATTAAAAATCTTTTGCTTTTCGTTCTTTTTTTAAGAAAACATAATTAGTATCATTAGTAAATGGCATTAAATAATCTGTTGTGCAAATAGGATTCAAATACCATAAATTAGGATTTTAAATACAATCTATACAATATAATGCAAATGGAGTAATCTTTCCTGGACAATCTAAACAATGTAAATTCCCATTTATTATAACTTAAAATTGATATCTTTAACATCCTACATCTTCTTAAGCAATAGCTTCTTAAATATTAATATTCTTTAAAATAGCTCCTCGTACTATATATTATCTAAAATAATTACTTTTACAATCTTAATTTCCAATATCAATATATCCTTCTTAACATAGACATTATGATTTAGATAATTCTCTTTTAGAAGTTGAAGCATCTTCACATGTTAAACAATGAGTCTCAAGTGGACCATAACATGCTTTACAAGAAATATGGCATACTTATTATATCAAATACATATATACATTTTTAATTTGGCGTATCATTATCATAACAATACTTAAAAGTTAAATCACGAATTTATCCATTAAAATTTTAATTATAATTATCTCCACCAATATTGAAATATAATTTAGCATTGTCCTAATGTTATTATTTCATTGTGAATATCTTTTCTTGTTTTCCATGACCAAAATAAATGGTAAGTCTAATATTATTCGTTCCATCAACTCCTTCTTAATATACAAACCAATGCCAAAATGTTAATGCTTCAAAATAATACGGATCTAAGATTAACCAAGAATCTCTTTCCTAAGTTTAATATTAATTTAATGGTTCAGATTGATTATAATGATATGTAGTTATTTAGAATCCATTTAAGTTTTGATTGAGAGAACTTTAAATATATTTCCAATATAATGCTTTATCTCCTTAATATTTGTCTTAAAAATAAGTGTATCTTAATGTAGCTCTTAGTAAAACACTTTCAATATTTTATTACTAAAAATCATATATAATTTACTTCGGCCAACTCATTTATTATCACCCATCCAGATATCATAAATTTACTACCATAATAAGATATTGGTTATCTTAGAATAGATCCACTTTTCATATATGAAATTATCAGAATATCAATTACTTCTTCACATGAATAAACTTAACAATCTAACTCTATATTATCTAAAAATGTTGGTATGTCACTATAATAATATTCTAAACCTTCTCTTAGATCCATACTACTTATTTAGCCTGAAAATTATTTCAATTCTTATTTGATTGATGATTCAAAGGCCCTAGTAAACTAGTTATTAAATATATATAAATCAATACTATTGACTATCCTCCAATAACATATTCTTTATAATTTCTTATTTCAATTACAAAAGGACCTCCTTCTATCATTTACACATTTACGTCATCTTTTTATATATATAAAAATATATTATAATTTGAAAATGATTCTTAGTAACAAAAATAGAAAAACACCCATCTATCCATTCCTAAGTATTAATCTATCTATAATTCCCTTATTTAATAAGTCCCACCATGAAATAAATACAAACTATGAGTAAATGATTTCTCTTCTTTACTCAAGGTTATGTAATATACTAAGTATGTGATATCCTATTGTTTTTCTGTTAGTATGTGCATCGTTTAGGTTTGTAGAGCAAGGTCTTCAAATAAAACATAATGTTAAGAATATTTTGTCCATACACCCCAAGCATAATTTATTTAAACAAGTGATGATAAATCTTATTCAATTAATCTCTCCCCTAAATCTGGAGTTATTATTGTTTTGAATACCTCACAACTGGATTCAACTAATACAATCCTAATTCAATCATTTATAGTACAAAAAAATATTAAGATACAACTGTGCGAGTCTTCTAAACATTTATTAAATATTTTTCTATGAATTTAATTTTTCAATATAAAAATTGTTCTCTATGATATTTATCTAAAGACATTGAAAATGGAGTTTAGCAACTCTCAAGTAATATTGTAATTTTATTTCATTTATTGCTTTGATAAAAATAATTTGACTTTGAGGATTTTATAATACCAACAATTTGGATTTAGTTTCAAATACAAATAAGTATAAAAAGTTTTTTGGTAAACGAATAAATCCAAATTCTCAATTTATCACAATTTTTTGATCAAATGAGTGCTTATTATGAATTATATAAATTGAATCAGAGGGAATATTTTAGATTATTTTTTATTTTTCAAATTAAATACAAATTTATCAAGAAAAAACTGTTTTAATTCTAATCTCAATAATTATTTATTTATAAATTGCAAAAAGTCACTTCTTATATTTGATACTTCTAATTTATTATAAAAGTCTCCCTAATATGCATTTGTAAACTATTAATATTAAATTTGCCAAAAATTTATAAGATTAAATAGCATAAATTATAAATTATTAAAATAAAAATTTTAGATTACTTATGGTATAAAAATATCTTTCTTAGTTAAAGTTAAATATAAAATTTAAACTAATCTTCATGAACTTATTTTACTGAGATTGTAAAATTTTCAATTATTTATTTTTTATATATTAAATATAAAAATTCATTTTAAAATATGATAAGTATTATCCAAAATTATCATATACTCATGATATTTGATTAATAAACATCATTCTCTTTGACTAATATTTTCATAGATTTAATGATAAATTATTGGGCAAAATTATTTTCAATTCACACATTCTCTATCAAATATCATTTTTGCAATTTTTGTTGAATTTTCGATTAAAGTAGCAAATAGTAATTTGAAAAGTAATGGATATTTAAATTAGCCAGAAAAAAAAATGATGAGTGATATATTAAATTTAGTTAGCAAAATCACTTTTTGAGTTAATTCTCCCGACTTATTAAAATAAAAATCTGAATTAAACCGGCTCAATTTGAATGGCACGGATGATATTATGGATAATACTTAAAGTAACAAATTATTTATATAACTACTTTATATGATCATAAATATTATATATATTAAAAAAAAATATTTCGTTATTATTTTAAAAAAGTTTTCAATAAGTTAAAATAATATTATTGAATATTCAATATATAAATAAATATCACTTCTTTTTGCTGAGATTTGGTTAAAAATTAAACTCTTTTGGTTAAATTGGTTTTGAATTAGATTAATTAACTTTTGAAGTTTCCTTTTTGGGATTTGATGTGACAGTGTTCTATTTAATTTAAGTTGATTTAATAGGCTGTTATTTTTAATCTTATATAGGTTTTTAAGTTGGCTAAGCTGGTTGTTTTTGTAGCTAAGCTTAAATGGGCTTTTAAGTAGGTTTCTAAATAACTTTTGGAATCAGTTATTATTATTTCTATGACTATTTAGTTTATTAAACTTTAGATAAATTAAGTTCCAATATGGCCCATCCTAATTGAGGTTTTAAAAATGTATTATCTAATAGAGTAATACCAAAATATCCAGAGCAAAATTGAATTGGTATTTCTTTTCTTTGCCATTCAAGAGTTACAGGAGCTTTTGATACACCTGAAGGAAATTATTCTGGAAATATTTCTTGGAATTTATCCCAAGTCTTAGAGAATTCATTTTTAACAAAGGGTTCTTTGTCATTAATACTTGCATTTTCATTTACTCTATATGGAAAAAAGTATGTAATCCATCCAGTTGCGAATCCTGGCCTTGGATCATAAATTTTAGGATCTGGATGCTAAAATCTATATATATTTTCCCAAAAATTCTTATCTACATTACCCTAATATAAATTGATAAATTAATCTAATATTGGAATGATTTCCTTAATCCACCAATCTAAATCAAATTCTCTTAAGGGTTCCACATTTTATCTTAATTATTGCCAATCTTAGAGTGTACCTAAAAGCTTTATCTTTGAAATTCCACATCCAGCTCCAACTACATATTTAAAATATTTTTGCATAGTATCCATTAAACTTACTTCATAACAAACTTATGCTACATCATTAGTTGTTGTATACTTATGTACACAAAGCTTATACCTCTCTTATCCTATTTAATCTTTTATTAATTTAGAGAATGTATTAGGAAATTCTTCCCATTTATAATCCTCAATTCTATCTAATTCATTTACTATAATTTTTAACTGCTGTTATCCTTAAAAATTGACGAATTTATTTCTATATTTTTCAGCATGAAGTTTTATATGTGTGCAGAATCCTTGAATAATAAGTAATTATATGTCATCTGGACTAAAACACAACGGAAAATGATGATAATAGGCTATATGAATTGTATTAATAAATTGGTTTGTGAACATCAGTCTTTCATTTTTTATTTTATATAAGTTTATATCATCGGTAAAACTATGTCTTAATAAGTTGTTTTTTTTCACGATTTTTTCTTTCAATTCCTCAAATGAATTAAGCTTTGTTAACTCATCATAATTTTAATTTAGATCCCCATTAATAGTTTGAACAGATTCTTTATATGCTTCTTTTATTAAAACTTCTTTTTAAATTGTCGTATCCATTTCTAAATGATTTATTAATTATTTAATAATTAAAAAAAAATCTGTTAATAAATGTTTAAATCTGATTAAAACTGATCATCAAATTTATAATATAAAAGTTACATATTAAATAGTATGAGAGATGATATTTTAAATCAATTTTATAATATTATTTGTTGAATTATTATTGAAGCTAATGAAAATAATAAAACTTTCTAAAGTCTTAGAAATTTGTTAAGGCGTAATTTAAATGATGCAACCAATGTGTATTTGTAGTTGATACAAAAATATTTTAATGAAAAAGAATACCTAATTATGTATTAAGCAATCTAAAATATATTGTAAACTGTTTCCATTTAATAAATAATTAAATGCAAGAATGAGAAAACAAATAGATGATTTTATCTATCGATTCATCCTCTTTGGTAATTTATAATTTTAGAATAAGCAAAATAATTCTAAAATTTGTAAATATTTCATTTATATTATCCTATAAATCCTTACTTTAATTAAAATAAAACCATCATAAAGAATGAAGTATTTAAAATCAAATTTAAAAGGTAAAATTTTTTAAAGAAATATTTAATTTAACAACTCTAATTAAATATGATATTAATATGCTATCAAACATTCAAAATTGAGAATATAAGAATTCGGGGGTGTATATTAATAAAAGCGCAGTATACCAGGAAAATTTAAAATATGTTGGAGATTAAATAAATTATAAATGTTAGTATAAGTTAGCCAATAACAGGGAATATTTAATTATAAATCAATGAAAAGAAATTAATAAACTAAGCTATTTATTCGTATAATTTGTTGAGCTAATACTTTCTTTTTACTAGAATTCATTAAATAAGTACTTAAAAATTAACTCTATAAGCGAACCAAGTTATAAATTTCTAATATAATATTAGATACAAAACTAAAAATCAGATAGATAAGAGGAATTGATTTTTTTTATAGAATTACTTAATATTTCATAATTTAATTCTATTTATATCATAAAAATCTATAGACTCCAAATCTTCATCAATTACATTATTTACTTTAAATTATTTTTTTCTTTCTTACAAAGATAGAATTCCAATATCATCATCATTAAGTGTTTGATCTTCTATTTCTTTAGAGCTAAGTCCAAATTTACCAAAAGGATCTAAAGCAACAGTAGTTAATCTAAGATGGCCAAGCTTTACTCCTAATGAATGGCATTTCTTCATTTCTTCCTAGGGTTTACTTGAACGTATCAAAATATACATCCTTGACATTTCGTATAACATATTAACATATGTAAGCTTCTATTCTATTTTTGCTCTTATATCTTCATAAAATCTTATATATTCATTTAAATCAAGTTATTAATTTTATAAAGTAACATTAATAATCTATCTCTTCCAATTCTTTCTAATCTTTAGTTTAGAGAATTAGGGATAATAATAAGAAATCATGTCATGCACTATTTTTTCATTCAAAAAATAAGAATTGAAGAAAACTATAATATGCCTAACCATGAATAAGACTGAAACAATTGAACCAATATTAGCTAATAAATCTCCAGCATTTGGATATTCAAATATTGTTTTTATCTGATTTCCTTTCATAACAACATAAAGTGATGCAAAAGTTTCATTTCCATAAGCTTATTAACAATATTCAGCAGAATTAGTTTAGGGTTAAATCAAAGCTCCATTTACATATTCAAAATAATTAGGAGATCCAAAAAGCATAGAATCCTTTACTTCATAAAGACTACTTTATAGAAAAGTATTTAAAGTATAACAATTGGGTTTTTCAACCTAAACAAAAAACTCTTATACGCTTGTCTCTATAGAACCATCTTTTGAATTGATTTATTTATACTTGAGTTACATAATGATTATATTTTAAGCTTAACTAAAAAACTAATTACTAATTTCTTCTGATGCACATTGTTCTCCCTCTTTCAACAAATCTGGAGTACATTTTACTATTTAAATGTACATTTCTGAAGTTGTAATTAAAACACCATTGATATTAGTAAAACCCAATTTCATTTATGGGATTAAATATTTGTTTCCATAATAAGTTGTTTAATTAGTTAAATTCAATACTGCTGTTTCCGTAAATGTATAATTTTCAGTGTACATGATTAAAGGCAAAAGTACTTTGGATTCGAATGGATCTATCAAGTTTTCTTCATATTTATAAAAACAAATTTTCACCAGATCATAGTTAATGTCCAATAACTCAAAATTTGAAACATGCATAGAACTTGATATTTTAGGGCTAAATTAATTTGTATGCCATAAATATATCACCCATGCTGTATACAATACACTGGCTGAACAAATAAGTAGGGTAATAATCCCACCTAAGATGCTTTTGTATATGGATTATTCTGAATCTATTTGTTATACTAAAGGAGCTCCAAAAAAATCTATCTTTTTGATATGTTTCACTAGAAGACTCATTATTAATTAATAATAATGTTTATTATGTTAAAAATTTAAGAGTCTTACAAATATTTATTTTTCTGGATTTTACTCTGAGTTAATTCTAATTTTATTTTACTTATAATCAAATTTTCAGGTTCATATGTTATATAATATATAAAAATATAACTGATTTAACTTATTGCACTTATTTATCACTAAAATTATCCATATTCATGCATTAATTCTTTAGTTTATATGATAATTATTTACCTTTTTTTAACTCACTTATCTAATTGGAATTCTTCACAAATTCTTTAAAAAAAAAAGTAACGCAATGTTAATACAAAATTCATAAGGACAATAAGGTAGTTTGTTTATTCGAATTATAAGCAAATCTACATTTTTAAAACCAAACAATATAATCTATAAATAATGATCCTTAATAAAAATTATATAAATTT